CACAATGCTGCCATAAACAAAATACGTCCTACAAAAAACTGTGTCCTTGACTTAAATATATAACTAATCTATTTAAAGTCATATAAAATCAACAAATATTTCAGCACTCGAAAAGCTGTATATACATAAATAAAATTTGTGTGTCTAATGTAGAGATTTTCTGCACTTATCATTTTCAGCAATAATAGAAACTGTAGTCTTATTCAAACTATCCGTTAATCGTAAAAGTTACAAATAATACTGAAATCGAATATAAAATTACTTGCGTAACTTACGTTTCGATTGAAAATGTTTTTAAATGGGTTTACATTATTATTATGTCACATTAATAATTACACAGATCATAATAACAATTTTGTAAAGTCACAACACTTATATAACGATAACAAAATAGGTACCTAACGATAATAGTCAAAAAATGTACCAACAAACAAAAAATATTGTATCCTAAATTATAATTTACATAAACTAACTTATTAACTACTACATTCTAGATCTAAATAAATCTACCGATTTTTAATTTATTTTCTATTATATTAATATTTATGGCAATAAACAGGCGGGAGTTTGCTACGTAATAAGGTAAAGCCGCTTTAAAGGTAAGTATAAGTTAATTTGGTGTCAATTTAAATTTAAAACTAAATTTAACGTCCAATCAGGTAAATCCTTTAAGATATGTTCGATTACATTGTTTATTAGAAAGAGGCTGTTAAAACTTTGGTCCTTCTTTATAAACAAATTGAAAAGTTTAATCGCTCTCCAAAAATGCAGTCGAGTTAGGTTAGCAAATTAGCCCTACAGCTAGCAGGCTAGAATGACTTGGAAATACAAAATATACTTACTTACACTAAGCATTTGCCTTTCAATAAGTTAAAGCCATTATTATTGCTTCTGACGAGCAGAAAAAAAACAAAATAGTAGCTACCTACATTCACAGAGTTGTAAAAAAGATTTGATATCATTACATTCTTCGCTTAAATAATTATGTACAGAGTAGTTTTCTTTACCCTTTCAGACGAAGAAACATAAGCGACCTAACAGAATAAAAGCAAAGAAAAGTTCATCTCCCTCTGGGTTCTACGATTCACTTTACTCGTAGCACAAAACCGTAGCATAACCTAACTCAGAAAAACAGACCAATTATTTTTTTAAATTTTTTTTTGGAGTTCGTTTAAACACGATCTTATACAAATAAGATTTTACCGTTTCATAACATACTTTATGCATATTTTACACAAATGTTGTAAGGCATGGTAATATTACTTTTTATTTAATTATAAAGCGTAAGAAAAGTATTTTACTATTAAAGAAAATGTTGTTACCTCTGGTGGGACGAGATGTAAACTGTCACTTTAAAATATTATTAATGAATATTTAAAATATATTTTTTCGTAGTCATAAGGTTCTTATTCCCAACCGAGGCAATGCAATTTTTATTTACAATAGTTGAGCATTATTAATTTTTGTGTCAAAGTTTTCCTAAGTCGATAGATAGGTTTTGAAAAGTAATACGCGTAATGCGTTATTATGCGTAATGTTATAAAACATTAATTTGATGTCATTCTTATGCATTATGGGACCATTTAATACTGTAATTTAAGTATCAGAAAATGTTTACTAAGTGATCCTGCCGGTCAATAGAGCAATAGCATCTTAAAATTAACCTGAAAAAATTGGTTTTGAAAATTATTCTTTAAATCAGCGTAATATAACAAATACTATAAACACACAGGTGACTGAAAATTTATGACACTCGTTTTTAAATATATAATACCTTAAAGAAGCTGGTGTTACTTTGAGCTTACAGATAGTACAACGCATGAGATTTCGTATGAATTGTTAGAGTCCTAATATTCTGCTGAAAAAAATCCTGAGAAGTTTAAGTAATGCCATAACATTGCAATGAACATAACTCCTGTTAATGTTAAGCGGTGGTGGAGTCCAGATGCGAAGATCGCTGGTTTAGCAGTTTTACCTGCCACACCAACCATCCTAAACATGCCGGCTTACAAGTTGCACCTCATCACTCACGCCCTTTTAAGTTTAAGATAATTTATGCCTTTGTTTGGCTAGGACCATGAATATAAGTAAAACCTGTTTGAGGGTGATTTTTTGCCTTTATAATAACATACATTATTATGCAGGCTCATTCCTGAAAATAAGACACGTGATTGCCGACTGTGATGCTTTCGCTTTTTTTTTAGTTTTTTTTTTTATGATTTGACCTCACTAGGGCAACATAATATTTTAATACTGAAAAATTAAACCGGATGCACACAACGACATTTCAATCTTTAGTTAAACCTGGATCAGTGTCAAAAAGGATGAATTCTATCGACGACTAACCTACAGAAAATAAATAATCTACTCGACTCGCTTTATAACTCTTTGACCGTGCTTTATTAAACAATTGATTGTGTTTAGCTTAGTACACTAGATACATAGCTGTTTCTTTAGCTATTGAGTAAGAGACTTGAACACACTCACCTTGAACTTTAAATCTAATAGTAAAGGCACAATACATACAAGAGCAGTAGCGTAACTCAGCCGTTTCTTGAAATAGATACCTACGACTGAGCGGAGCTCTAGGGTTGGTTCCTACAAAATGTAAAACATATTTGTGTAGATTTTCATTTTATGTGTATATTTACTATTTCTACGTTACGGAATTGAAAGGGCAGACGGCGCGGGCGGCGCGGCGCAGCTAACTTAACTCGGCCAACGACCACTCTCGGCGGCGCGCGACGTGGCAATGCGTAGATTTGTCTTGTCAAGATTGGTTAGCGCCCGTGTAAATGACGTTTGCCTGTGTGAGTGCGTCGATTCGGGCGCTAGTATGAAGTCGGAGTACTGCTCTTGTATGTATTGTGGTAAAGGTTCACGTCACAAACTTGTTCAATGACATGTGCCTGACCTATGGACTATTCGTGAATCCACGACACGCCACTAGGTATATGAGATGTCTGAAGAGTACTTATTTATAGTATAAATTCTAAACAGCTATGTACATTACTTACAAGATTAATTACTAAACATCACTTGTGATTAATAAATGACGTTAAGTATAGATTTTATACTTTCACTTTTAATTTTTACTCGGGTTTACTCAAATGGTTTTACACAAGTGACGTCGTTTAGTTATCAAAACAGTATAGTTTACATCCAGTTGTAAGGGCATAGTAATCGGTTTTAAAAAATAAATAAATGGATAGATAGACCACTTAAATGCAACGCTGCACACAATACAATAGAAACAGCAATATTCTGCGCACCTTTTCAATATAACAATAGTTTTTTACGTTTCCGATTCCTTTAAGGGACTTTTTTGTAGTGCTAGAATTCAATTGCCAATTCGAAAATTATGATTCAATTAAATGCAACAATTAGGGGATAATGTGTGCGCTTTCGAAGCAAAGTAATCGCCTTAATTCTTCTTAAACGTAAAAGACATAAAAGTTTTCAGTTCTCCGTGCTTTTTAAGTAGGTTTTTCGCAGTTTTTCTTTGACACGGGAAATTGACATGGGTATCGTTAGTGTTGTTGGATAAGCACATCGTTATATAAATTATTAACAAACAAGATTTGGAGGGAAGTACATTAGTATATTAAACATTATTTTGTTACACAGATGATCTTTTTGAGTCATTCATCATTAAAGCTGTCTTTCAGCTAAACAAACTTTGACGAGAATCTGTATTTGGAATTGGTTGCTTAACTCGCCCAAAACTCAAATCTACGTCTTCCTTTTAAACTAACATCACCAATAGATTTTTTCCCAAAATTAACAGAAATGGTAAAAAAATAATTGCTTACGATCATTAATTAATAAATCATAAGAAATAATTGCGTGATAGATGCCACAACGTGAATTGGTCACTTCCTAACTGCTTGGAAATATCACAGATAATTATGATCTACAAGCCTGGAATACCACCTACTGAATGCGTTTTAAATGATGCTACACTAATGTCTTGTCGAAACTAAGGAAAAACGGTTTTTTAAGATTTGAAGTATACCTGAAGTAATTTCATAAAATTCCACAACATCAGTTTAGATTCGGACGACGCTCAGTGGGAAGACACGCTACAAGGTGGACCGACGATCTGGTGAAGGTCGCGGGAAAACGCTGGATGCGGGCAGCGCAGGACCGATCGTTGTGGAGATCCTTGGGGGAGGCCTATGTCCAGCAGTGGGCGTCTTACGGCTGATATGATGATGATGAGTTTAGATTCCATGAACAACATTCTACCGTTCAACAAGTTGTCCACGTTTACTAAATAATAAGATAAGTTTTATTATCTTTTGTCTTTTAAAGTTTCGTGTGCCTTCATTGATGTTATCAGATGTTTGGCACAAGGGGTATATAAATACGGTCAAAAATTTGCTGACTCGCTCGGTATACCCCCTTATCAAGTCTTATCTCGAAGATAGAAGAAAGGGAACTCAAACAATATCCTTAAAACTATTAGTGGTGCCACTTGATACATCAAGAACAGCAAAATTTATAAATATTTGGAAATACCAAAGACTAAAGAAGAGATTGACATATACAAAAAGAAGTATATGGACCAATTTTTTGTTCATCCAAATTCTCCCGTGGCCGTTAATTAATCACGTGATGTATTTTTTGGCATTTTGCATACATGGTGAGGTTTCTAATTTTATAAGAGAAAATTGAAGACTACAATAATAACATTTAGAGGTGGACAGAAAGTTTGCAGATTGTTTTTGACTGACATAATAAAATATTATGAAAGAAATGCGAAAAACTTTTTTGTACTAATACATGAACATTATTTAATGTACGGTATCCTAAGACCACGGAAATACAGGTGATATATTACTACACCCCCCTCCCCGCTTGTGATATTTCGTAATTTTTTATGGAAACCTCCCCCCCTTTCGAGCCCCACGTGATTAATGGACAGACCCAAAAGACTTTAACGAAATGATGTCCTTGATAAGTAAAAACTTTAAAGCAATGGCTTTGATTTTCTCAAACGCAACGAAAAACTTATAAAGACTTCTAGGCGATTCATATTAGTTTAATCATATTTTAACTGGTGATTTTTTTCCAAGACTTGGTATATTTATAAAAATCAGATTAGTTTACTTTGGAAAGGTTAAAACACAAAAGAAAAAAACAGAATTTTCTAAGACCGTTAAATGATAATAGCTATTTGCGTACGTCTGAATAATTTTAAAGATGTTTTTAACTCTATTCTATCACAAAATAAATGTCGTGTATTAATGAGCTTTGTTAAATACAGACCTACATGTTCATTAGTAGGTATTATAATAAGTTTAAAATACAATTTTAACATTACTTCAGTTTAAAAGTTCATGTTTTTTTTGATCGTATAATCACTCAACAAAGTTGGATTGGTCAACAATTAATCACGTTTTACCATCGATGTTTAATTCACTTTAATGAGATTTTTATTTGTTTTGCGATCGCAAAAATTTATTTCAAGTTGTGTCAGTTGTATTAAGTTTTTTTTATATAAAAGGCGACTACTCACGCTATGTTATGATACCGGACTTTTTTCAAAGAATTTCTTCAAATCGTAAAAGTTGCCTACATTCATAAATAAACAGTTTGAGCAATTAACAGTTTACCACTGTTATGTGATAATTGGTTGAACTCAATCCTTTTAATAAGTGAAAATTCCATGAAGTATTGAAAGATCTAGTTCGAGAAATGTGTGTCTCTAAGGGATGATCGGCCAATACTTCAACTGCACCCGGGTATGGTTTTCAAGTATCGGATATTTTGTATGACTACAGAGTTTGATGATAAATAGGTAGGACGCATTATTTCTATGTAAGCACCGTTATATTTGAATATATAGTGTGCCCGGCGTAAAAAATACTAGGAAGGCCAATCATAAATCTACTTAAATACTTATTTTTAAAGCAAGTTTAGAGTCACTCGGATTTAAAGAAGACAACACGTGGAACGTTAAACTCGTAGACACTATTATTCACATTGGTTCGACCATTATGCGACTCTGTAGCACATTGCCTATGATTAAAATTACGAATCTTAACCTTACAATCCATTGGAGAAAAGAATTTCTTGAAATGTTGATTTCGAATTAATTTTATGAGGTTCTATTTTTGAAAATCTAGACGCAACTTGAAAAGATGGCGAATACAATCCATCTTCACTTTTTCAATTCCAATCCTACTCTATATTTACATCGGGTTAGTTCGTCTTTATGTGCGTTGGAGTGGTGCCGACGACTTGCAGCTGATGCAGAGGAAGATCTCGAACTATTAGCGCGTGGAACGCCATGTTGGACGTTGCCAGTATGTACTCACAAACAGAGAACCAGGTGAATGCTGTAACAAAGATACAAGATGTGGATGCACTTGCTAACCATCTAGATATCTTACTCTGTTAATATTATACTCGTAAATGCGAAAGTGTGTCTGCCTGTCGGTTACCTCGTCATGCTTAAATAGCTAAACCCATTTTTAGGAAATTTGGTGCAAAGATAGTTTGAATTCCCTGGAATAGGACATATTTTCCTAGAAATCATATTTCAAGAGAGTAAAATTGGGTTGGAAATTTGTATGAGAATTTAATATTTCTACTGAGCCTTAATGTCTTAAACACCCACTAATGGATAATAAAAACCTATATTAAGTAAGTTTACACACAAGTTGAAATTGTGTAAGAAACCTAAATCTCAATAAAATAAATCCTGTCCTGTCAACGTTAATTTATATTTATGTATCGAATTAAACTATGGCTATGGAGTAATCACCACATGTCTAGGTCACGTGAAGCAATGCTTTTGACATAAATGTGTCTTTTATTAGTTCAAAGGGATATTGCTGGTTTGGTTTCAATCGCAGCTGCTTTCCCGTCGATATGGTTAGCTCTTAAATATTAATTATCTACCTATGCAATATATGAGTTTATGAGCTATTTATATTTTGTTTCATAAAATTTGTTTGGAGAAAATGATCTTTGGTGGTTTATTACTATTATTGATAGATCATTATCTATGCTCTGTGTTCAGCTCTACTCCCAGACCACAGTCTACATCAGTCATTTCGGTAAAAACTTTACAAGCTTTATTTACATGGAGAACTCAATAACAACACGAAATAGTTCATTATACTTATGAAATATAGGCATAATTAAATGTATACGTACCGAGGGGATGGCAGAGTAGCCGATGCTTCAAGAAGAATATGATGAGTCCTATAGTGGCGGCGATGGCCACGAAGAACAGAGTCCATACAGACTTGTTGGTCCGCACTGGCTCCACTACATCGCTGCATATGGACCCGACCCTCGCCCGACACAGCATGTGGAGCAGGGCCACTATCATGAACACTATGAATATCTTCTCATGCACGACTGGAAACGACAATAGTATTTTAATTTAAAAAATTGCATTGCTATGTTGCTGTCTTATTTGCTGAAGGTAGAATTATTACAGTTCTTTTGGTTACCGGCTGTGTAAAGTCGGCCGAAAAGCCGTGTCATATAGGAGAAAAATCTGAGGGTGGCCGTGTTTCAATTTGCAACTCCCTTAGAATTAGTGAATCAAAGTTCTAAAATTAATTATAAGGACGCTTTAAAAGGGCTTTTAATAAATGCAATAGAATAAACTTCAATTTAATTTCATGATTACATTGCCAGCTTGCAATAAATATTATTTCGTAAGTTAAAAGATCGATGTCCATCTTGTACAGATGCCATAAAATTATTTTGACAAGGCGAGTGCGACAATATGACAAAATCATGTTTTGCTAATAGCTATTAGTAGAATATGCTAATTTTTCGGCCTTTTAATTAGAAAGAAAAGGTTATAAAATCAAAAATCCCGACTTTTTAAACCAAGGCTACAAGGGGCGGCGTAAAAAATAGGTGGTGAAGGAAAATACTTAATTATTTCTTTCTTAGGTTTTCACGCACATCACTCATTAAATAAAATTAGTTTTTACGGGTTAATGCACGAAAACTTTATTTATTTATTGACGTTTCGTAGCCTTTACAGGCTACGTCGTCAGAATGAGCCTGTAAAGGCTACTTAATTAGTATAGTTCCGTACATCGAAAGGAATAAACGGAACCCTTATAGGATCACTCTGTTTTCCGTCCGTCCCTCTGTTATGACCTTTTTTCTCAGGAACGCATACGCATGGACCTCCATAAAACTATTTGAATTCTATATTGGTTCGTGCTAAAGGTACTGTAATCATAGCACGAACTATTATCGAATTCGAATAGTTTGCGAGTGCGAAATGACAATGTCGAAATTTGTATGGAAACTTGAACAGCAGCGCCACAAAGTACGTAACGAGAACTAAAAATCAGTACACATTTGACAATGACATTTCTGTACTGATTTTTAGTTCTCGTTGCGTCCGTTAAATTTGTTAAATGTTAAGTGCATTAACACTGGACATTGGCGAAATTTCTGTGCAAAACGGAGAACGCCACAGAAAGAAGAAGAAAAAAAAATGCATGCATGCATTAACACGCGTTAAATTTTCCATACAAAATCTGACAATGACATTTCGCACTCGTAAACTATTTGAGTTCGATATTGGTTTGTGCTAAGGGTACATTTCATTAGTTAACAGTTGAAGTAGTTACCTATTTTCATTAACATTATCGTGCTGGGAGTTTATGTTTGCTAATCCAGTTTATTTTATTTCGTAGGTGACAAATATCAAAAAGGAGTTACAACTTACAATAGTTTTCCCTATTTGAGACGTAGGTCACTCCGGTAAGCGCGAGCAACTCTATTAAATTGAGCCAGTAGCAGGCATCTCCTAATTTAGTAGCTAATTCTCGAGCCTGGAAACAAAAGTCTATTTAAAAACAATCTAACACGGATGATCACGGGGAATAAATGGAATTCAATTTTATCGTCAGTTAGTAGATCAAAAAATATTGGACGCATATTTTTTCTTTTGTCAATCAACCAAAAAATTATGGAGATTAAGCGCGCCAAAGTTTAGGAGTGGGGGCATGTGACGTCACTTCTAAGAAAAAATATCAAGATGTGACGTCAGTCGACATTTCAAATCAATATGCATATACCTTTGTAATGTTTTGATTATGTCAATAAAAAAAAATAGGTGTCCAATACTTTTTGATAATCTACCTGATAAATGAAGAAAAAACAGTTTATCGTAATCCCTATTGAGAGTCGGATTCAAGATTTAACACTTACAGTACTAAGGTTAAGAAATGTAGAAAAAGTTACGTGCTTTGCATGGGTTTCTTTCAGTTAGGTACTTACATTATTTTATTTTTAATAACTAATACTAGCATATAAACCCTTGAATTCCCTACCAAAAGAGTAATATACAGACAGGCTGAAGAACAGATACCCGTTATTTTCGTATTTAGTTATGGCGCAAATACACTTAGTCGGTAGCTCGAATACGAGTGCCAATGGAATTCGGGTAAACGACTAAGTGTAAATGAACGGAGTCGAGTACGCCTGTATTCGTATTCCAATGTAAATACTGTTTCGGGTCCTTGAATTGGAGTAAGATCTTTCGTGCACCCGAATACGTGCTAACGACCAAATGTAATTGCAGCATTAGAATGGATTCCAAAAATCAAGATCTAGAACTCATATAATCAACTTTTCATAATGGGAAATAAAACGCAAAGCTCATAACAGTACAGATGGCGTTGTATTCGTCTGATCCATAAAAAACAATCTATTACTAAGGTTCTGCTAGTTTGGGGTTTGGTTTTATAATAACACTAGTGGCCCGCCCTCGCTTCGCTTCGGGTGGTGGAGTTGATCAAAATCCTTTCTTAGCGGATGCCTACGTCATAACATCTACCTGCATGCCAAATTTTAGCCCGATCCGTCCAGTGGTTTGGGCTGTGCGTTGATAGATCACTATGTCAGTCAGTCACCTTTGAGTTTTATATATATAGATAGGGGAAAACTTGATACTTCAATGTTTCGTGTATACGTGTGGTATTATTTACCTTTTCGTCTACGATGTGCTGAGATCGCTCCTTGTGGTAGTTGTAGTAGAGGGACCCTATCAACAACCTTGGTCCTAAGTGGAACGCCACGCACATCCTCCACACGTACCTCTGCGGGCTGATGCCCGTAATAGCACTTATTGACGGCACTACATTGTATACCTGGAATTAGTTTTGTTACAAAATGAATTGACACTAGAAAGTATACTTATATCGCTACTACGAGTATGGTGTCGATTCTGGCATGATTCTCTAGACCTTAGATTAAATAAGACAACAGTGTATCCTTGTCATTCTTTATATAGAATGAAAAAGAGCGACTGATGTTAAATTTAGTTTTGAGTTTAGAGAATCATGCCAAAATCAACCCCTATATTCACGTGTTGTTCAAACCCGATCCTCGCTTTATTTTTGTAGCACGAAGGACCAAAAGTTTTAATAGTAACCATTTTGAAATAAATTTAAATCTATGAAACCGATAAATTCTAAAATCCTAAAGGTACTGCGGCGATCTATCCTGATGGGATAGGCCCTGGGAGCGTAGCTTTATAAATGAAAACTATTTAGATTTTATTTGTTATTTTAATTGAAATCAAGGCGAATATAATAATTATGGTTTAATATGTAACCGTATGTTGTGGTGCTTGATTTTTATCTTCTGGAATCTTCTATCAAATGACAGAAGATTCCCAATTTCAAATCTTTAAAAATCATGACATTACCTTTTTAATATAACTGCCTGCCGTAGGCATTACATGAACAAAGAGTTTACCCAAACAAGGAGGCTGTAACGTAACGGACGTTGCAGAACCTATAAATTGGATGTAAATTAAATTGGTTAGTTACGGAGAGAATATAGTGCCTGAACTATTTTCTGAAAGTCTTCAGGTCACCCCAGGTCTACTTTCACCTACGAAGGCTTATTGTTTAACTTTAAATCTTATTGCTGCTCCCTTTCAAAAATAAAATAGTAAAATAGTGTCAATGTGTATGTCTTCCCCAACCATATAGCAAACATTTTAGGTTCATCATTCTCAGCTATAAAATGAAAGGGATCGGAGAAATTGAAAAAGATTTTTTTTTGATTGCTTTAAGAACTAGAGATAAAACAATTATTAATACAAATAATGATAACAATAGATTAAATTAGAGGTAAGCGTAAATGAAAACCAATTATAGCCGAGCTTTTTCATTAAAAAAACAATTACTTTTCTAACCAAATTTCATAACAATATTTTAAAAAAATTTAACAGACTCAAAAATACGAGACAGCAGTTAGTTTAGAGAGTAAAATTGCATAAGTCTTACGTAAGGTACCGTACTTACGAGATACATAAGACACTTACCTTACAATGAGTTTCATGTATATCATCTGCTTGAAATATAGAAGCTGTCACGTAACAAAATATTAAAGCACCTAATGGAAGCCAAAGAGCAGCCAAACAGATTTCTTTGAGACCACATGTCCATAGTATTCCCTAGAAAGAATTCGTATGATCAATTTGTTTGTTCTACTTGTTAAAATGAACACAAATGCATTTAAGTTAAGAAAAGCCACCTTGTACTCCAATTGTTTCACAGTTGCATTTACACTGCACGCATCGTTTGTGCGACTCCCTGCGTCTCTTACTACCAAGTTTGGTGACGACAATATTTGTGCGTCATTTACCATTTTCCTCTTGCACTGCCACTTTCGTCAATCACATATTCCCACTATTTTCCCTTACACCTGTACCTCACAATATCGACTGGATAAATTGATAACCAACAGGGACAGCCATCCATGTGGATATTCTGCTCTATTTATCTATTTTTGATAGCGGAATTTCATGAAGTGACTAAATCCTTTGAGCTTTATACATTAGCTAACTGTTTTGTAATAATAGATTTACGGCGATAAAGAGCGTGTGGATGACTCGAGGCGTGGATTGAATGAGGTTATTTGGACTTGCGCAGTGTGGTCCTTGCGACGGCGGGGTAGCGTGCACCCCTGGTGTATTCCATCCATGCAGTTGAATTATATAAACTGGAGTTAGAGAGGAGGTTCACATTGATTTTACTATCTCGTACTGTAACATATTGTTTTGATATTCAACTTTTGTTTTTATTTGAATTATAAGTTTTATTAAAAACATGAACTCTCACCTAAAGTTACTGTTGTTTTAAGTTTAGTCCTTTTCAGGTTTGGGCTCTGTAGCCCTAGCTACAGGCTTTCTTTAATGCAACAACCTTTTGTATAAATAGAAGTTATAATTTTTATTTTTTAAGCATGTAATTGCTTGATGTTTAAATCTAAAGAAAATATAACTAGAAAAAAATGCACGCGGACCAGGCAGCAGACGGTAAATAGAAGTTGTTTAATTTGGCGTGCCCTACGACTAGACCCAGACTCAAAGGCTGTGAAAGAACCTTAGTAATTTGAAAAAAAAACCTTTATATCTCTTTGCAAAGTATTAGATGAAAATAATACTTGTTACTTTGAACAAAAGATCCAAAGCTATACTGATGTCATAAATATGAGATTTAAAGAGGAGAAAAAATCTTCATTAGTAATTAGAAAGATACATTATTTCTTCGTGATGTAGGCTGTATTTTACCATTGCACCTTTACTACAATAAAAACTGTCATACAATTCATATAATTATCTTAAATTAAATTAAAGAAAGCTTAAAAGCTCTTCCAAAGGTGTATTGGAAATCGTTAATTACCCGGGGCGCTAGATTTTAAAATACGCCTGTATGGTCTAAACAGCACATAACATTCTTGATTTATTCGACAAGTTTCGTTTTAAAGCTTGTCTTGGTGTAAACAGCACTTACAAAAATTTCACATTTCTTCTAAAACGTTCAATACTTGAACGAAAAGTAACCCAACGCAAATGCGCGCAAGTGCCAATAAATAAAATGAATTGTACATACACTACTATACTATACTTATGTATAAGCCTGCGTTTAAGCAAAGTGAAAACTTGAAGGAAATAATCCCCTCTAAACCTAGTTGTATTGGTGTAAACAAAAAAATGAATGAAATAAAATAACGTTTAATCTTTTGCCAATATGCGCGTGTTGCTTACAATTTAAGAATTTTAAATATTTCGCTACATTTATTGCATTAAATTAGGGTAACTACACTCATAAGCGGGCCAGCATTAATCAGCACAGCCGGGCGGTAAAATCGGATATGTGTAGGTACAACAAAGGCGACCTTAGTTATTACTGCCGAACATTAGATGAATGTTCGGCAGTAATTATTCCAGGTCAACTTATATTGTTCGAAAAATACTGCCGAGCCGACTATGCCGGCCCGATTATGTGAGAAGCTACCCTTGCTCTGGTATAATACAAGAAAATGGCATCGCGAAAATATTAGTCTTTAATAAACCTATAAGTACCACCTTATTCCCAAACGCGGACTATAGTTAGTCTTTGTTTAAACTTCAAGCCGTCTCTGCCTTTTTAGAAAACACAAGTGGCAGCATCAGTTTTAGACCGGGTTTAACTTTAGTCAAGGTTTTATAATAAGGCAAAACACATTGCCTGAATGCATACTTTATCATTCTATTCTAATGAGCATTACTTTTCAATGAGGAGCTCGATGGCGCAGGTGGTTAGAGCGCGGTCGGGTCGGTCTGTGATTGTGGATGTTAAGTGCCTGACTTGTGCAATGGCAGTCATGGATGGATGACCAAAAATTTACTATCTCGAGCTCCTCCGTGCTTCGGATGCGACGGTAAACCGTTGGACCCATCAATCTCATAGGAAAGGCCTGTGCTCCAGTAGTAGAGATTAATAGGCTGATGATGATAAAAAATACTTTTAACCGACTTCAAAAAGGTTCTCAATTCATGAGTATTATTATTGTTTTTCGCGCGTGTCCCCTAGATGTATGGGCCGATTTTAATGAATCTTTTTCTGTTGAATCAGTTTTTTGGCGAAATGGTCCCATATTAATATAGTGAAGGTCCGATGAGTACTTTCGGAGAAAACAATGGCACTGCTCAATTACAAACCTTACCTGCTCAATTCGCGTTTTTTTTAATGGGATATGAAAGAGATAATGCAGGCCAGTAGGCCTGTTCGCTAACTGCTTTTGATAGATGGATGTGATAATCACCGAGCTATTTAATGCTTTATTATAACGCTACTAAGATACTTATTCTGGAAAGCATCGATGGATATGCTATTATATTTTTTGTGTTGCACACCAAATGTCAATAAAGTTAGCGAATAGGCCGGCAGACTATGCTTGCTCATTCAGTTGATGCTACTCTGCCTTATAAAAAGACGAAAATATTTTTTTTTTAGCAAAATAAAAACAGACATTATAACCTACATAAATGAACCCCTAATTGCATATTGTACATTCCAGAATGACTGACTTTTTTTTTAGGTTATAGGGGGCATACGATCAGACGGCGCACCTGATGGTAAGTGATCACCGTCGCCCATGGACACTCGCAACACCAGGAGTATCACAAATGCGATGCCGGCCTTTAGGGAAGGAGTACGCTCTTTTTTTGAAGGTTCTTGGGTCGTATTGGTCCGGACACTGCTGGCGACAACATATTCCACAGTTTTGTCGTACGTGGTAAAAAAACTTATTAGATACTATACTTATTGACTATACTTATTATACTTATTGACTTATCTTAGAAAGATCCTCTGATGGCACCGGGATTTGTACTTGTACAAAATAGAGTTGTACTTATAGGAGGAAGAACGGCCATAGCACAGCACTCGGAGTTCGAGACAAACTAGTAAAATATTATGAGACTGAAAATCCGTTACCATGGCAGACTGTTTAGTTTAGTTAAGTTTTTCAGGGCCGTTACCGCACATAGTCCTTATATCTACCTCGAAACATTCTCGTTTACTCCAGCCACCCTAACTTAGTCCAGAAGGAAAGCAGCCATGGCAGACTACTGCAATCTTCCGGAAGCGAATCTGGCGACTTGGGAAGTCGTGCCTGCTGGTCGGCCACACTCCGGCATTCCATGATGACATGCTGTGGCGTTTCTTCTGCCGCCATACATCCTCTGTATAGGGGGCTATCTGTAACTCCTATTGTATATAGATGTTTGTTTAGGGGACAATGACCAATCAGGGTGCCTGCCCTAATCTTGCGGAGTTTGTCTCTATTTAGTCTGGTAAGGGTGCGAGCAAGTTTTTTGTTTGCCGCCGGACTGCATTTTTCGTTTACCAGCATCCTTCACCTGTTTTCCACTCTGTCAAGTGTGATTTCTGAGTTCTTTTAAGCAGCCACGTTTTAATTTGGGCCTGAGGTACGGGCAAAAAAGGTTCCGGTTCGTCTGCTGCATCGTTTCCAATTGAGTTGCTATGGCCTTTTATCCATTGCAGAGTTACCGTGTTGGTTACCGCAATGGATTGAAGTGCATTGTGGCACTCCATTACCAGGACAGAGTTTATTGTGTTGCTACGTAGGGCTCGAAGCACGGATACACTCTCAGAGATGATTTTAATGTTAAACTCTCTGATGGATTTGGCTGCAACCGCCTGTGCCGATCTGGTAATGCCGATACATTCCGCCTGGAAGATTGTGCTTTATTTGTCTAAGGTTGTAGATATTTTTATATTCAGTTCGTTCGAAAAGACACCAGCCCAGTATGACTGCTGGTTTTGGTGCTATCTGCGTATATCCTAATTTCCCCGGCGCCAGAGAAATCTGCCTTTTCCGCGGTAAGTTGGATGTCGTGTCTTCGATCAAAGACGCGTTGACCCCATAGGTGCCTCCAGGAGTGGGATCTGCTTCATGCATGTTTGTAGAATATTGGAGTGTGTTGTTACAGTGTTTAATCTCCATAAGCCCAGAGATCTTAGTCTCAAGGCTGCTTTCTCCTCTTGTTGTATGACCAGGTCTAGGGGTGTTAAGTTCAGGAGGTACTCTAATCCAGCCGATGGAGTTGTTCTTATGCATCCAGTTGCTGCTACGCTCGCCAAGTGTTGTAGACTTTAGAGTTTGGATTTCACTGTGGCCAAATTGGGTCCCGGGCCACCAAACAACTGAACCGTAGGTTTTTGAGGGCCTGATGACTGTTGTGTATAACCAAAGAGTGATCTTTGGATTAAGACCCCATTTTTTACCAACTAGTCTTCTACTCTGATTAAAAGCTATGCAGACCTTCTTTGATTTAATTCAATATGACTCGCCCAATTCAGTTTGTTATCAAGGATTACGCCCATATTATATTTATTTCACTTTGTGTTGATATGGAGAGTTTGGTATTAAACGGCACGTTTTGGTAACTGTTGTTCGGGTAACGTCGTTTTGTTGGTGAAAAGGACAAGTTCTGTCTTATTCGGGTATACTGACAAGTGATGTTCGTCGCACCATTTTTCCACAATCTGAAGGGCTGAACGCACAGACAAAGGACATTTTCAGCGTTCCCATTTATCAGAATTGTTAGGTCGTCCGCATAACCAATAGAAGTGTATCCTCTATCATTCAGACTCCTAAGAAGACTATCTATTACTATGTTCCAGAGAAGTGGTGAAAGGACTGCCCCTTGAGGATATACTCTAACTACCTTCGCACGCGTGGTAGTGTTCCCCACTATTTGAACCGCCCTTTTGCCGACCAGTGCGGTAATCCAACCCCTAGTGACTTGGTTCACCTTAAGTTTTCTTAGGGCGTGGTTAATTTTGTTGTGCATCGTTTAGTCAAAAGCAGTTTCTATATGTCTATGAAGGCTGCCAATGTCGAGGTTTTGTTTGTGATTGCTCACTCTAATGTGTATACTACCGCATGCAGTGCCGACTCCATGGTTTCGGTGTTTCAAGGCCAGACAGGCCGTAAAGATTGGTTGTAGGTATTTAATTACCTGGCCGAGTTGGCATTGTAGTAGTGCCGGGAAGATATAGTCCTGCCGACTTGAATTGTTTAAAGCTTTTTAGAGCCCATTCCATCCTTTACGCCGTTACTATCATTTTTGCCAGGTCCCATTCCTGGGTTATTGGTGCATTGTGGTGCTCACTCGACCACTCAAGTTAAGGCGCCGGTTCGCTTAATGGGAAGTGGGTGGGTAGCACCGCATTGTTTCTCTTTCTTCTGTTTTTGTTAAGGTGCCATCTTCCCTTTTTAGAGACCCAAGAAGGTTTGAATTGTCCTTGGACAGATCATCTTAAGTCTGGCAGCTTGATTGGTTGAATTAACACTACTACAGAAGCCGCACCATCCTTCCCTTCTCGGGAATCTGATTCGCTTCTTGTAATGTTTTTGTGCTATTTCATATCTGTTCCAATCCTCATTGGTTCTTGTGTTTTTCGCTCGGTTGAAAAGTGTCCTGAGTTCCTTACGTAGTTTTTCAAGTTCTGGCCCCACCAGGAACTTTTACCCAGGCCTTTCCGTACGATGCGATGGTAGGACACGTCAGTTCGTAGCTTTTAAGAAGTGCTGAAGTGTAACACCGTACGTTTTTTTTCTATGTTGTGTGTGTCAAGAATTTAACGTGTGTTTTTGTTTCACTTAATGCTTTAGTCGACATTTCTATGTAAAAAAGGTGTGTAAAAGACTGTACGTCTTTTATGGGGTACTAAGTTCCCCTATGCTATGTGAGCCAGAGGGTGGATAAGCGCCGCCACGGTTCGGCTATTCGGTTTTGTGATACGACCAGAGGTTTCTATTATGCCAATTACAGAAGGTAATTGGCTAATTCCATTCGGGCGGCAATCTCGTGAAGTATAGTCCACTGACCTTGATTAGGGGATCTTTGCGACTTGCGCTACACCCTAAACTGTTCGCCAAAACCAGTATCGTATACATACTGAGAGTAGGGGATCATCAAGCAAGGAGGAAATTTAATTTGAATTACTTGTTTGACCATCCCTCCCAAATAGCAAGACTGTACGTATTTTTTATGTATTTTATTAATGTACTAGGTATCTAACAACCAATAACTGGGTATTTTCTTGGTTGATCATTTCGTCCTTTTCTTTGAATAGTTATAATGAACGAATTAACTATTTCGTTACCAACTTTTTTTTGTTATTACAATCGGAATAATCATTTGTTGAATTATCCCATAAAAAGTTAACTGAACTAGTATGTTTAATAAATCTTTCTGGTTGGTACATAACGAAACTTATTTTTTTGTCATCATGTCATGTCATTATTAGGAACTTTTTGCGCAAAATTCCGATAGCACCCAAAATTGCGGCTGGCGATCAAATGAGTGACGTGCAGTGTTACGGCTTACACGTGTTGGCACATTAAAAGTACGTTGCTAAAACAAAACTCCTACGAAATCATTTTACCAATAGGTACAGTATTTGCTTGGTTTCCACCGCACGCCCTGAGGCGTGTATCCAATGCCATTAAATTAAAAGCTTTTCTTCGTAGGCTCTTTCTTAGTGTTCTATTCAATGCCATAAAATTTAAAACGGTAGTTCTGTTTCTTTAGTGATGTCAATAAATGAGATATCGATTAGTCGTTACAATAATTACATGTTTTTTTTCTAAATTATTAAAATGTTGAGAAATTACAGTAATTACCTGCATTGCTACAATTGTTGTTGTCTTGAGTGACGTATTTCGGCAATATTGTGCTGTGCAATTGACACCATTACTTTTACAAAAAAGCAAAAGCAAATAAAGCAAACCTAGGAATAAATTTGTAGTTATGTACATTCATTTAATCTTATAAACCAGTGCAAATAATGTATTCACCACAACCATATAAAATACCCTAGATACACTACGACCGCTCAAAATGTGTCCCAATGTGTGTGTGTTTGAACTCCAGTCAAGAACTTCTTGGCAAAAGTCAAGACGGAGCTCTGCCTCCGTGAAAAAAATGCGAAAAAAATACTTATAGTACGAAAAGTGTCGTTTTTTCTACAGGTATCTAATCAGTGTTTGTTAATTTAACGCATTTAAAGCTTTTGTTCTGATACTTACGTTAAATTGATTTAAAAGAAAATATTTGTAATATTCAAATGCATGGTCTGTAATATAACCGACTCTTTTCCTCGCAGTCCGTATGCTATTTTAGCTAACAGCGCCTTCAGATAAATGCGTAGAGTCTTATAACTAAGGTCTATATTCTTCCGCTTTAAGCAATAAGTCGTAAAATTTTATGACTTTGCATTTCGAATTGTCAGAAGTCTTTGTTGCATGCTTTTTAATTAAGACCTTTATACAGTATGCATTGAAGGTGATTTTCATGCATTTGGTTTATGACCACGCGATCAACTTACGGAGCTCCGTGGATCGTACAATGTACCTTTTGGAAACGTTTCGGCTACGATTTTGTTCGTGTTGTTTTATCTAGAGTATTTAATATCGTTGATTCACCAGGTGTAATAGGTATCATTTAACTTTTTATCATAGATAAGCAATATTTACTTTACTTATTTACATTCTTATTTATTATAACAGTGTTAAACGTTATGTAATTATTTACAAACTTATAAAAGTATAATACACAGTAATCGACCACGATTTTGTTCGTCTTGTTGTAGCTAGGGTATTACAATATTTCGTTGGGAACATCCTATTACAATAAGCATTTAATCGAATAGATTACCTAAGTTTGATTTTTTAACATTCGTTTTTTTTTTGTTGAAGTTCTCCCGTTTTAGGGAAGGCAAAGGGAACAATGCCCATACAGCCTGGTCTTTAATTAAATTAATCTTCTTTTTGTTTTTCATTAGAATGTCGGTGTGATGCATTCTAATGTTTCTTGGAGTGTTTGGCACGAAATGTATCGAGTTGGCTTTTTCGATAAGCTTCTGTGAGGTAGTCAACACTACAATAAAATTCTCACGTCCACTTGACCGGAATAGCGTATATTTTAATGATTCCACTAATTCTTCAGTTACGCAGACAGTTGTTACACAAAACCACACCAATTTTATTTCACAATATCCACTATGAACGAATTTAAGAATAATTAAAATAAGACGCCAACCGCACTCGATGAAATCCCGCCAAAAACCCTCCTGTTGAACTGTCTGTTTTTGACATTGACATTTTATGGTTTGTCATGTCCATATAACAATGTACTCTATGGTCATGTCAAGCCTGTGTGTCAAGCGTGTTGGTTGATGAAGTAGACTTCGCAAGAGTATGAATTTTAGAAAATTCTGCTATTTTTAAATAAATGATATGGTTTTATAACTTCAGATAGTTGATAAAAATAATAAAGATGATGTTTGTGGGAATATTGTGTTTAGTTTGTTTATGTTCAATAAATTCAGAAGCTTCTACTCACTGGATGGTTACCGAAAGTGGTTTGATTCAACCTAAGGTACGATAAGAGCTTCCGTTACTGGTTGTATTGGCTATTGTAAAAAAATTAGATTTTAACTTACTATAATAATCTATCACGTGATATTTTGAAAGAGCTTTTACTTGAAAGTAGCATGCATTGTACAAACTATGTTTAAGTCTTCTGTTGCCCATTATATCAGAAGTTGCGTTGAAATAATACATAATTGATGTCGATTTGAAGTTTCTAAATAATGTCGAACAATATTCTTATGTAATTTGTAGGAAGAGTCTCCTTTTGAAATGGAAAATCCACATGATCTTCTTGCTTTTTTAAGTCAAGATACTAGATGGGAACATATAATAAACTTACACCATGATTTGGCGAAAAGGCAGACAGTTGCTGCTAGTTTGTGGTCAGATATACAGAAAAATTCTGATGTGACTACCCTTATTTTAAAAGAAGATAGTTGCCAAAAGGCTGGCCAGTTAAATTACCTAGATTGGTACGCTTCATTTCTAGAAGAAGGTAAATCTAAGAAAATACCTGATGAAGAGTATTTGTTGTACGAACCTTCTATTGGCCAGGATGTTGATGTTCCTGATTGCAAGAAGATATCATCATTAACATTTAGCATGTTTGCATTTGAGCATCTGGAGGTGAGCAGTTGCTTATTTTATTACTTTATAAATGAATTGATATTGAATCTTATTATTCTTTAGATATAAAAAAGTATTCTTTAGATTTTTTCTATTTGATTTACAAGTTCTTAAAACATCATAAATGCAAACTGCATTTAACTTATAAGTTACAGTACTGGTGGTAATTATGGTGTTTACTTTGAGGCACCTCAGTAGAAGGAAGAAATAGCTTCTGCTTTTTGTCATTTTCCACTTACACCATATTTAGAAGTGACATAAAATTTTGCAGTAGAGATATGAACTGTTTTTTGTTTTACTGTTTAAACCATTATTTTCATATACAAGTTATGTAAAAATAGTTTAATAAATATGTTGCAGGGTATGATGCATAGAGGAAACTTGACAGCCAGTCCTGAGATGGCTCTACCAGAGCTTATTTCTCCCATCATGACGGTAGATCAGTTCGGTCACTGGTTGGCGTTATGTTTGAAAAAGAATAGCTCCTCTTGGTTGCATTATAACATGGCATCCATGTATTGGAGGGTTAGAGGCAATGCACCCAAAGCTATGGAATGTAGTCGAAGAGCACTTCATTATGCACCTAGGTAATAATAAAATTCTATAAAGCATTGGTTCAGTAACTAACAGAGCTTGTTACATCAGTTATAGCATCTAATATGTGAACAAACCCTTGTCAATATTACAAAGATAACAAAAAAAAAACTGCTTTGTGCAAAGAATTAAACTTTATCATAGCAGTTGATATTTGATACTTAAAGCATATTTTTAGGCAACCTCAGTTCACTGTTTTTGAGGTAAAGATACACTTAGCAGTCTGTATTTGAAAATTGGTCAGTTTAGTACAGTATACAGTCATAATGATGGAAATATGGAAATCTCCAAAAAGTGGAGTGTATAGCAGATATTGCTTTGATCACAATGATATATGATTATCTTGAATGAAATTTTGTATTTACATACTGCCATTAAAATATATTTTTTAAATTACACTTAAATATTTTCCTACAGGCAATATAAAGATGTAGCTCTTCTTAATTTGGGCTCAATTCTTCATCGCAGTAAAAAGACAGAGGATGCAATCACTGTTCTAGGAGCTGCTATTGATCATGATCCCCATTATAACATAAATCATTTCATCCTCGCAACTGCCTATGCTGTTCTTGGAGAATATAACACTTCACTGAAACATTTAGATATATGTATGGAAATAGATCCAACTTTTGAAATGGCAGAAAGGTACAGATATGGAGTAGTTTGCCATTATGTATTGTTGCAGAGGATGAATGTTATAAGGAAGTGAGTTTTTATGTTGTATATTTTATTTTTAAATATGAAAAGTATATCTTCTTAGCATTAGTATTTATTATATAATTAATAGTGTCGCACCGAATGTGGATCCTGCTGAATGTCGTTTTCGGCCGAATGTTTGCTATATGTGCCGTGGCTGATGGTTGTTAAATTTAAAAAAAAGTGGAAATACCATTATCATCCAAAAATAAGTGAAAAAACAATATTGTTATCTTCTTAATAATTACAATTGGTATTATTTTAAAGTATATTTTTGAAATTTGATGTTTTTGTCTAGGGCAATAAAAATAAACACGCAGGAACATCCACATTAAACCTATTTGCTTACAAATCATCATTTCATCAATTTTATAATAGGTACATTTCTTTTCACTTTTCTTTTTTTTATTGATATTTTTTATTGATATTAATTTAAGCTACCGAATTTCGGCCGACATTCGGGAGATCTAACCAAAGTTCGGGCGAATACGAAGTTCAGTAAAAGCTGCCGAACTTCGGTAATACCGAATGTGAAACTAATTTGGGTGCACCTCTAATAATTTTATAATAATTTATACGATCTATAAGTGCATCCTTGTGGAATTTTTAATTTTTACCATACAATACAAGTAATTACTTCACATGTTGGTTTTTATTTGGCGATCGAGTCTATGCACCTACAAGATCTTAAAATAAACAACTAGCAATAACCACGAAAACATGTTGTATTTCTCACACATTTTTAATACTACTGAACTGATATTGATCCCAAAAATCTGAATAGTATGAGCCTCATACTAAAAGTGGTCTTTTTCCCGAGAACACAAATTTTATCTTCTCATACATAAATTATTTCATCATATCATATGACAGGTGTGGTAATTAATATCCTTTCCCCATAAGTGTGAAGTATTACTTTTTAAGTACTAATTTTATGGAATTGTCTTCAAAGAAAATAAATATGTTTCAGAATAGTAAATGAGCTGCGTGAAGAGTTGATTGAGTACACCAGCAGAGAGGCGCATTGGTTAAAACTACAAGCAGCATTTTTGAGGACGAGGAAACATGAGCCTGATAATGGTGAACTATTTATATTAATTAGTAATTTGAGTCAAATTTATTTTCAGTTACATGAGTAACTTGTTATTTAAATAGCAAATTTTCCTCTATTTGTACAATCAATCTATCCAATTATTGGGCGATGTTTGTTTAGCCCCAAGCCTAACATATGCAGTGTAATTCAATAAAGTTCGCATGCAGATCTTGACTTTTTTAGAAACAAGCGTATTTCGAGATAATAATTTATAATAGAGATGCAAGTCTGTACTGTTAATTGCTTCCGCTGCAAGAGTTACTGACTGACCCTTAGATTACGATTGCACCCCCTCTGGATTAGCGACTTGTCGAAATTTATTTATTATCTCTGTTGAGGAGGTTCCTGCCCTGCCCTTAGAAAACGTTATTCTTTCTCATTCGCGGACTTATAAATTTTAGGTAACATTTCAGATTTTCGGAATGTGATCAAAAACGCGGAAAAGATGTCCGAACTGACGGGTTTAAAAATGAAAGATTTGAAGAAGGAGGGGGATAGATACTCTGTGATACAATATTTTCTAGACGGGCCGGTTTCTATTAGTGAGAAGCTGCAGGACAAAGGTGTTTTTGCTCTAGACTCGGCATACAGCCTACAGAGGCTGGTGAAACATATAGAGAAACATGCCAATATGGCCTCCAATTACGTTCAGCCCGATTTGAGTAAATTGATGGATGCGGAGGTTTTGAAAGAAATAGAAAGACCTAATCCTGACGATTATGTTAGTAAATATATGAATCCCCACATCAAAGGTGAACGAAGTTCTTTTGTTTCTATTGGCTATCTTCTTTTACAATAAGAGTGAATGTGCTTACCGCAGATTATAGTAGAAAAGGCAGATAGAGCGCACGGAACACGCAATGCGTGCCAACAAAGCAAATACGAAGACAAAATTAAACACTTTTTCTGTCTTTGTGAACAGTTTTTACAATGTGTGAACAAGGCGGCACAGTTTTGATAACAATGTATTCACGGGACGTAGGGGCCGTCCATAAATTACGTCATCGATTTTTTCAGATTTTAGACCCCCCCCCCCTACAGTCATCCTATCGTCATTTCTTAATGACCCCCATGATGAGAAGGGGGGCCCTTCTCCCAAAATTGACGTTATTACCAGTTTGACAAAATTAAAACATTGCAGATTTGAGAAAAATAGGGTATTATATGATTAAAACACTTAGTTATAGAATCACCTTTTATTATTTTTACTTTGGCAATAATCATTGATATAATATAATATAAAAGTAAAAAATAGGGAATAATAATATATAATATTATTATTCCCTATTTTTTACTTTTGTGTACATCTATGTTGCATTATGTATGTTTATTATGAGTTATTTTAGTATTGTACGCGCCTTAGCCGCCTCTCACATTTGCAGTCTCACTTACTAGGTGTGCTGGAAGAAATTTCTTTTTAGAAATAATCTTTTTGTACGTGAACAATAAACTATAAATAAATAAATAACAATGACGTCAATTTCGAAGCACCCCCTCCCCATCTATCATTTACCGTCATCCGCAGACCAGCTAATTTAGAATGACGTAATATATGGACGGCCCCGTACGTATTCACAATACGATGCTTGTAGTGTGCTGACGCGAATTGATATTCGCTTAACTTCGTATTTGCTATGGTGCCTCGCATTGCGTGTTCCGTGCGCTCCATCTGGCTTTTTGTCGTGTAATCTCAGGTGCTTACAAACGGTTTTTTGTTTGTTAGGTCTTCCTACCATGAACGCTAAAGATGTAGATATAGATTTGGGAACTTTACAAGAGAAGAAAGCTAGCCAAACAAAGGGGGATTACTCTGAATATTTTACAGGGAGCGTACTGTATGTTTTCAGAATATATTTTTTTGTAATTTGATGATGATAAAATTATACTTTTGTGTCCCTTCTGTGATGTAATTATAGTTATCTATGCGCAGATACCCTCCGTCTTTGAGAGTGAATCGAAATCTAGAAGATTTCGACAGGGAGCACGTGTGGCCTTCTAATAGGCTTTGTAAAGAAACTGAGTCGAGCTACCCGAAGCACCTCGACGCCATATATCCTGTTTTCTTGCCGTTTGAAAACAAGGGTATCAAGTGAGTAAACCGTTTTGAGAATAACAAGGACTATCTCTTTCTTATAGCCTTTGATATGTAAAACTATAATTTAAGTTTCGTTATTAAGAGATTTTCATTTTTCACGTTAAGGCTACTAGTTATAAGTTATATAATTGGTATTCCCCTGGCAACTTAGCGAAAAATTTCTGAACATCTTGACATTTACAAATCTGAGTGAGTGTTTTTTGTGAATATATATATCACAAGAATATAAACTCTTGTTTATTTATTTGATTTTGAACATCTCTTATCTATTAGACAAGTCCGTCCGTCCGTCTGTCTGTGGTGCTGTTTCAGCGGCCAAACCGTAAGAGATAGATAAAGAGAATATTTAAGTTATAAGTTAAGAATAGTCTGATAAGACTACAAACCGGATTTGAGTAACGTAGCACTTCCGGTTTTCGAGAAATCACGAATTTCAAACGAAACCACACAAAATCTCCGAAGTTCTCAATTAATTAAATACATTTTTTTTTCTTTTTTTTTTTAAATCAGGTTTTGGTGAACATTTGGGTCACTGGTTTGCTAGTTGATGTATAATTTCAAGTAGACTCGTAATCATGCTCAAACAGTGTCGGTAGAATAATTACGCACACGCTGCTATTGTGCGTATTTTTTAAACAGTCGCGTTTCGAACGCGCTTTGATTACAACACTATGCAATGACAAAGTGTTCGGTTAAAAACTGCGAATGACACATCTATACTTTAGGTTTGCTAGTTGATGTATAATTTCAAGTAGACTCGTAATCATGCTCAAACAGTGTCGGTAGAATAATTACGCACACGCTGCTATTGTGCGTATTTTTTAAACAGTCGCGTTTCGAACGCGTTTTGATTACAACACTATGCAATGACAAAGTGTTCGGTTAAAAACTGCGAATGACACATCTATACTTTAGGTTTGCTAGTTGATGTATAATTTCAAGTAGACTCGTAATCATGCTCAAACAGTGTCGGTAGAATAATTACGCACACGCTGCTATTGTGCGTATTTTTTAAACAGTCGCGTTTCGAACGCGCTTTGATTACAACACTATGCAATGACAAAGTGTTCGGTTAAAAACTGCGAATGACACATCTATACTTTAAAAAACATGGAGTGTCGTATTTTAGGTGAGCGTCCCTTTTAAACTAACAAATTACTCAAAAGGGATTACGACTACTTTTTTTTGGTTAACCAGGTAGATTATCAAAACGTATTAGATTCGTATTTTTCTTTATTCACATAATCAACACATTACAGAGATATATTGATTTGAAATATTATCGCATGTCGTCACGTTTCGGTACAATTTTTACTTAAAAGTGACGTCACGAGCCCTCACTCCTAAACTTGGACGGGCTTTATCTTTGTAAGTTTTTGGTTGATTGACCAAAGAAAAAATACGTGCCCATTATTTTTTGGTTATCTAACTGTTGGACTTAATAGAATTTTGTTTACTTTAACTCGTCGTCGCCCGTATTATATAGGCGTTTTCTATCGTATGATTTAATCAATTACATTATAGTCATCATCATCATCATCATCATCAGCCTAATACTGTCCCCACTGATGGGGCAAAGGCCTTCCCTATGGATGGAATAGGGAGATTGGGCCATGACCCACCACGCGGGCCCAGTGCGGATTGGCGGGTGCTAACGACTGCATATGCAGCTGGGACCAACAGCTTAACGTGCCTCCCGAAGCACGGAGGAACTCGAGATAGAAGATTTTTGGTCACTGGTCCACTGACCGACCACTGCGAAAGTTGCTGAACTTCTACGATCGCAGCCGAATGCGCTAACCACCCGCGCCATTGAGCTCCTCATCTCTTATCTAATAGACAAGTCCGTCCGTCCGTGGTGCTGTTTCAGCGCCCAAACCGTAAGAGATAGATAAAGAGAATGTTTAAGTTATAAGTTAAGAATAGTCTGATAAGACTACAAACCGGATTTGAGTAACGTAGCACTTCCGGTTTTCGAGAAATCACGTGATTTCTATTTCAAACGAAACCACACAAAATCTCCGAAGTTCTCAATTAAATAAATACATTTTTTTTTTGGTGAACATTTGTTTCACTGGTTTGCTACTCTCTTATCTAATAGACAAGTCCGTCCGTCCGTGGTGCTGTTACAGCGGCCAAACCGTATGAGATAGATAAAGAGAATGTTAAAGTTATAAGTTAAGAATAGTCTGATAAGACTACAAACCGGATTTGAGTAACGTAGCACTTCCGGTTTTCGAGAAATCACTTGATTTCTATTTCAAACGAAACCACACAAAATCTCCGAAGTTCTCAATTAATTAAATACATTTTTTTTTGGTGAACATTTGTTTCACTGGTTTGCTAGTCTCTTATCTAATAGACAAGTCCGTCCGTCCGTGGTGCTGTTTCAGCGGCCAAACCGTAAGAGATAGATAAAGAGAATGTTTAAGTTATAAGTTAAGAATAGTCTGATAAGACTACAAACCGGATTTGACTAACGTAGCACTTCCGGTTTTCGAGAAATCACGTGATTTCTATTTCAAACGAAACCACACAAAATCTCCGAAGTTCTCAATTAATTAAATACATTTTTTTTTGGTGAACATTTGGTTCACTGTTACATTTTAATAGCCACAACAAACAATATTTGCCTTGTGCGTCACGTGTTTATATGTATGTGATTTTCGTACCATAATCAAACTCTCTTACTCTCTCGTATACAATTGATATTGAATCTTACTGCAACGACATTACGTGTGAATTAAAAAAAAATGTATTAATGTTATCTGTTTAGGTTGTTGTATTATGTATAAAACAGAGCGGCTCCGACGTTTTTGATGCACTTTTGTTTAGTGATTGGGAGTCTACTTGTTTCTATACGCCAATGATTTTGATTCTCTGAATTTCACAGATTAGGTAAACTATTGTCAGATAAAATCGGGGTACCAGCGGATGTGGAACACGAATTACCTTGGTACCCCCCACAGTGTCCACAGGATAAGGACGCCACGGCGTTCTTGCAAAAGAAGAATCCTAAGTAAGTACCTGAATTTGAGTAAATCTGTGATATATTTCAAAGAAGTTAGTTAATTTTTAAGGATTATTATATAACACACGTCACTTTATCAAACATTAAATTTAATAAATGTCTATGAAACATCATAAATTGGTTATGATTCATTTGTATTCAACAAAGAGATTTAATGATACTTATATAGTGTCGTCATATACATACATACCTAGATTTAAGTAGATGACACATATACTTCAACTTGTATGAAAACCGAGCGTATCATATTTCGAGAACACAGGTGGCATAATAGCATGGACCCGCCCACCCGTTTCAATTATTTCGTTTTACAGTTTAATTTGGTACATATTCATGTTTTTTTTAATTTTAAATGACATTCAGTGCCGAGAAAGGTGACGCCAAGAAAAAAAATAGTGTTAAAAAAAGGGACCCTTGGTTACCCTCGGTTTATTAGGAATATTTTCCCGCAGTGAAACCTAGCCTATGTGTTAAACCAGGGTGTCAGCTAACGCCATACCAAATTTTATTAAAATCGCTCCAGTCGTTTAGACGTGAAAAAGTAACAAACATAGACACTCACAAACTTTCGCTTTTATAATATTAGTGTGATAAACACTAGCAACTTCCATATAACCGAATACAAGTAGGTTATAAAGACTGATTTTGGCTTATAATTTGTAGGAACAATAATAATATGAATAAGCAGGTAGTGGACACAGGCTATTTGAGAAACAAGCTTCTCGAATATGCCGGGGACGGTGATGTTGAGTCTGTGATGCACATGCAAGAGGTTGAGCTCGGCCATCGCATCTACATCGCTATGCAGAAGGTATGTAACGTTATATTTTGAAACTCAAACCCCCTAATTGTGATAATTTTAACGAATTTTGTCAAGTATAATAACTCACGCCAATACAGAAACGAATCGGAAATTACATCGCAAGACATTTTTTGCACATTATTTTGACAGAATGCGTGAGAGAGACAGAAAATCTTGCGATTAATATTTCTTAGGTTGCAAGGTACCGCCATCTCTTCAAACCAATTTTTCTTTATATGTATTTTTCATTAACAGAAACTGGCTCCTGATTGGATCCTATATACCCTCGCATCTTTATATTGGCGGGTGCGGGGCAATAATGCGAACGCTATGCACTGTCTAATGTCAGCCAACAAGAAGGTAGATCCCAAGCTAAAGGATCTGGTGTTGGCATCTATAGCGTCCCTCTACGTAGAAATGGGACACTTCGATGAATCTCTTACGGCGACCGAGGAAGGATTCAAATTGGGACTCCATGAGGTAAGGAATAAGGATGAGAGTGCAATGTTTGTTAAACTATCGAGTTTGCAAAAGCTGTACTCAGGTCCATAAATTTAATTGTATCCTTAAAGTTGATGATATCACTATCAATCTTCAATTTAATCTTAAAAGAATTGATTTCAGTTAACGAGAAGTTCGAATAGTAGTCCTGACTACAGAAAGTTACCAAGAAAGCTGGCTCCATACAATTCATTGCATTCTAATGCCAAATAAGAAAAAATACTGGAATACAGCGTTGCATGGGCTTACTTTCCTTTGCTTTATCTTAATAAGATATTTTCATAAAAAAGAGAGAGCCCTATTAAAAATGTAATCTGTCTGTTAGTGTTTTCGAAAACATATAATTTATATAAGCGAGCTCCATCTTCGGCTCCATCAGCACTTTAAATGTCATATCTGAGATATATTTACAATAAAAAAATAGAATTGTTTTATTGTATTGCATCAATATAGTGCGATTCAAATAAGAATAGGAAAGCTAATGACCTCCATCTGTCAAATGTCGCTTGAAAAGTACGGTTTGCAAAAAGAACATGGAACCCCTTTTTAGCACTCAGCTAGCATATTGATAATTAAAATTGTTTGATATTTTTTTTTATTTATTGAGCTTTGGCTATGACTGTTTGATAATCTAAATCTTCAACCAAACGTCATTTTAAGTTGCGTTCATAAACTCGATATAAAACTTTCGTTTACATAAAGGATGCATGTTCGTATGTGACCTAGTAATAGTGCATGATTATTCATAACTACTCCGGCGGTAATGATGAGCGGAATTGAAGAGCTAGATTCTGATTAATGTTTTTTTCGCACACAGTCTTAATTAATAAATATTTTTAGAAAGCGGTTGTTTTTTTCTCAATCTTAGTAAATAAAATCTGATGTTTTTTCTCACTTAATCTTTGTAAATAAGTTTTACCAAATTAAAACTTTTTTTTTCTCGCTCTAATTATTTGTTTTGAATTGACAGCTATGACGTCACAATATGGCTCCTAGTCGGTCCTATTCTTAGTTCAATCGCATTATAAGTGATTGATATTTTCTATTTCTGTCTCTTTCAAAGCCCGTGCTCAACTTTATATTAGCTGAGCTGAATATGTTGCGGAAGCATCGTAACACGCACATATTCCACCTGAAGCAAGTAGTGAGGGTGGATCCTAAGTTTATGGGTGGACTGGCGAGAAATCTTCTCAATGGGTGGGCGTGCCTTATGAAGCAGATCAACACTATGGCAGAAGTTGGTAGGTATTAAAATAAAAATGCAGCTTCTATCAACTTAAAATTTCAGTGTAAAATTAGCGACCTTTTAATTAATAAAAGGTTTGATGTTAGTTTGAATATGTTCACTTCACATTTTATATGCAGAACATCAAATTTAGGGGATGGTGGTATTCGAAAACCTTAAATCTGAGCATAACTTACAGTCATCACGAAATAATAGGCACGTTTTGACATTTGTAACTAGTGTGTTACCATACAACTCGGTGCATGATCCTCACGATAAATCGATGCACGCATGTATGAGTATTTGATTATGTATTGTAAGGTGCATTTGATTTAATTAAAAAAATCTGATTAGAAATTTAACTTAAACTTTAATATTGTAAGTAATTTTAAATGATACAATGGAACGAAAGGTCAATTTGTCTTTAATTTAAAAATTTTAGTTTCCATAAAATTCGTTCAATCACCAACAAATATAGATAAGCGAAAGTGATTTTACTAAATCTTATAAAGATTATGTCTAACAGTGGTTTTTGTATGGTAAAAAATAATATATTTAATGGTTTCAAACATGAAATAAAAAGTTTCCGCAAGCATATTCTATTAGGACGACCATAATTTAATATGATTTTGTAAAATTTTAATTCTGCGTCCCCAAATTACCGATTTGATGAACTTTGTGGCAAACTGCACGTCTCTAATGACAATGAAGAACAATATTTTTTTTTCCAGTTTAGAACTATAGGTAGACCGCTTACCTGAGTTCTCGCCTCCGGGGTAATTGTTGTGAGGAAGGACGAAAACTGGGACCGTGAGGGGTGGCAGGCACATAATGAGGGCTATCGCGTATGAATCCGCCGCTAGAGGCGCTTGTGCAGCGTGAGGTCTGCGAAATGTCAAATGTTATTGGTTGTGGGTTGACTACGCGGGTTTATTTCTAATTAAAATAATGTTGTGAATATTTAGTAATAATTCTGCTTAATTATAGCAAATATGAGTTACGTGGCATTGAATGTCAGTTATTTAAAAGCGGAGCTAAGAAAAATAATTATGTCCTCCTTTTTGCCGTACAAAACGGAGCTGCGCAACACTGTGGTATGGCCTATTATGTTTAGAATACGGTTCTTTTGTATTAAAATATGATTTAAATGTATACTTTGATTTCACGCGCGTATTAATAAACATTAAAAGTTACAATTCAGGACCTCACTCAACAGTGGCGCCATCTGGTGAGACAAAAAACGGTAGCCCTCATTGACAAAATTACAAGTGCCCGCCGTCCGCATCTCTCACGGTCCCCGTTCTCGTCCTCCCCCACACCCTGTACCCCACAGGCGAGGTCTCAGCTAAGCGCTTTTTAATATATATTACTAGCTGTCCCAGCGAACTTCGTATCGCCATAAAAAATAGGGGTTGGTGGTAGAAGGGTTAGGGATATTCGATATACATCGATGCATCGAAAACATTGATGTTTGCATTGAAAAACATCGAATCGATCCGATGTTTTGAAAAGCTTTCAATACACTCGATGCATCGATGTTTTAAAGAAACATCGAATTGGTAATAGAGTTTGACCACGTAGTGATAATATCCTCTTTGATTTGACCTCAGTAAAAAAACTTAAGTTTGACCACTAAAATTTTACTTATTACTATTATGAAAGCATCATTATTCCGAATTCTCTGATATGGACTCGATGTTGGCAGCACTGCGCAAGAGTCAGTGCAGTGACAATAAAAAATAACTACGAGTTTCTATGTTTATGAACATTTAATAACCTTTAGATTTTAAATACTTTTTCTTTCTTTCTTTCTTTAGTTTTGTGAACGAAACTAAGATTGAAGTATATTTCTAATATTCTTTTGACAGACTTAGCAAAAATTTTGCGGGTTATTTAGTGTTTTTTTAATTTTATCTTTTGTAAAAAAAAAAATACAGATTTTTCTGACACATGGCTTTTACTTGTATTTACTTTTACCTACTCATTATGAAAGGAGTTAATTCTTTTATTTTATGAAAGATTAATATATAAACTATAATAAAATTATGGATTAAGGTTTTTTCATAAACTTCAATAGTAATTTTTTTTTACTATGAAAAGATGGCCTCTTTTGAGATGGGTCACTTTCAGAAAAGGTACTCGATGTTTAAAATACATCGATGTTTTCATCCGATACATCGAATGACATCGATGTATAGTTGCGATGTATCGAATCAAAAAATACATCGATGTTTTTTCAGAGTGGACACCCCTAAGAAGGGTGAACATTTGGGATTGTATGTATTTTTGTATGGTGTATCATAAAAAAAAAGTTCATAAAAACAATTATGGGAGGACCACCACCCTTAACATTTAAGGAGATGAAAAGTAGATGTTGTCCGATTCTCAGACCTACTGAATATGCATATAAAATTTCACGAAAATCGGTCGAGCCGTTTCGGAGTAGTTCAATTACGTACACCGTGACACGAGAATTTTTTATATTAGCTATACTTCGAATATGAAACTTCATGGGCGCACAAATTTCAAAATGTGCCTATTGTTTTGTGATGACTTTAGTGGTGATATCTCTGCAACGTCCCTAACATTTACATTTTCCAATCCCAGTACACTTTTACAAATCAATTTCACCTCAATGTATTTTTTTATCTTATGGTCTCTTTTGTACAACCTCCCGAACATGAAGTTACTACAAACTCTCATAGTCAGAGTAATTTGTCAGTTTTGGGTAACATGACCTGTGGCTCTATAAATTGTTATATCAAATATTAGCTTTATCAGTAAAATAGTCTCTTATTCGTAGGTTTAAGTGAAGATATTTGCACACAAGTAGAGCCTGGCGTGAATATGGTGTGTGGCAAAGACGGTACAAACTGCCACGTCACAAACATTGAGTGCTACAAACCCCAGGACAAAGGTAAACAACGAACAGTTTGTAGATATGAAGTGACAAAAATACAGAATTTACCGATACATTAATCGTAATCACATGTATTTTTTTATATTTAAAGAGTCATACATTTGGGTATTTCGTTCACAATCATACTCCTTCATTTACGTAACATTTATTAATTAACCCCTCATTCTACTCTTCTGTCTTAGCTTGCGTATGCGCAAATAGTTGTTTTGATTACAGTTGATATTGACGTGATAAGGACAGGCTGTTGTCAAGTTAACAAATTGCAAACAGCAAATACGAAAAGCCAAGTGACAAAACGTTGCTTATTTGTCTCATTGATAATATAGCACCAATAACCAACACGAGTTACCTACTCTCGGTATTTCGTCGCTTATCAAAGGAAAATATTTAAAGGCAATTAGTCAAATATACACATATGTAATTATTGAAACACATTTATCACATCACAAGTACGCGTTTTTGACCATAGAAATATTGTATATGACTAGTTCGGATATCTTTTTTGTTTTATTTTTATAACGTGTCTGTCTAGTCGTATTGGCGCGTTCGATTGATCACATATATGCAAATATCGAATATCCATGTAAAGTTCTACTTTGATGGAAAAGGGATGATAATGGGGTATAGTCAACGATATTGAATACCCTAGATACATCATGTGCACTCAAAATGTGTCCCAATCAAGAAGTGCTTGAATTCCACTTAAGCACTTCTTGGTTCACAGACACACGCGGACCGTTGAAAAGTCAAGATGCTGCAGAGATCCGTAATAAAATGCGATAAAAATACAAAAAGTGTCGTTTTTTCAATAGGTGTCTAATCAATGTTTTTTAATTTAACGCATTTGAAGCAAATTTTGTTCTAATACTTAGTATAAACTGATTTAATAGAAAATATTTGTGATATTGAAAGGATGGTCGGTTATATAGCCATCTCTTTTCCTTGCGGTCCGTACCTGTTATATTGCTAATAATGCATTCAGAATTGCGCGTAGAGTCAATAAATAAGGTCTAAATTCTTCCGCATATAGCAATAAGTCGTAAAATTTACGAGCTTGCATTTCAAACTATCATAACTTTATGACGCAAGCGTTTTAATTAAGACGTTATGCAGTATACATTAAGGGTGACTTTTAATGTTTAAATAATGCCATACTTATGTTTTTGGCTACGCGATCATCTTACGGAACTCCGTGGATCGTCCAATGTACCTTTCGGTCAGGTTTCGGCCACGATTTTGTTCATGTTGTTGTATCTAGGGTATTTAATATCGTTGGGTATAGTAAACGAAATTATATTTGGTCCTTCAGTTAGATTATCAAAAACTAATGGACACTTATTTTTTCTTTTGTAATACAAACAGAAAATAATAAAGATGAAGCGCGTCAAAGTTTGGAGGTGGAATCTCGTGGTTTCACTTCTTAGCGAAAATTCTACCAAGGTGTCATACGACATTTCAAATCAACATATCTCTGTATCGTTTTGATTATGTTAACAATGAAAAAATACGTGTCCAATACTTTGATAATCTAATTGATAGACCAAAAACAAAAAGTATAAGTCATCATCGCTATTGTTTGTATTAGAAATTTTAAAATAGTGTCCACATATTGTTTTTTAGTTCAATTTGATTTGTCAACCAGAACCATCTTTAGATTATTAACCATTTCTAATATCGGGAGTTCATTGCAAAAAAATAAAATATAATCACCTTGCTTTGAGTCTTAAAAATTATATGAGTATTTATGATTTTGGAGAATAAAGTTCAAATCCTCCTCAAATCTTACCTACTAGAATTTTCACAATTTTGCAGATAACTGGGATATAATCTATGTTTAACCTGTTTCTGTTTTACGAAATATACACACATGCATGTATGTCATATTGTCATTTTTAATGTTACTTTATACAATATTATATTAGTTTAGACATTTTCGTTGCATTTTCCTTTATCTATTAACCATCTTTCCTACTAACATTTTAACTTTCGTCTGTAATAGATGACATAGGAGGGGGAGGTGGGTTAGGAAGTAACGTGGGTACAAAGTTTTCTCTTTTAAGCTGATAAAAGTAAATAATTCCGAATAGCCTGAAATCAGTTTTTATTTCCATAAGCACTTATATTATATTGGATATACATATGGGATACTCACAAGAGGTGCAGGCTATCCTCTCAACTAAACTTCACCCCTTCGGCCGCATGTAAACTGATGGTTCGTAACTACCTGAGAGGAAGGAAAAAAATGACCTTGTTCGAAACTTATATTTATTTATACGAAACCACGGTTACGTACAAAGAATATATTTTTTATTGAATAGAATTTCTCTATATTATCCCCCGGGGAGCTTTCTTGAGCTGGAAGAATTCTACTAGCAAGCAAGGCACCACGATAATATAATTTATCAAAATGATAGAATCATCCTTTCATTTTATCTCTGCATAGGATCCAGATTCATTCACCGCAGCTTCGTCATAGTCGATTGTTAGTTTTTCAGTATATCGCGAAGGAATAATTGACTTAATCAGTGTAAAGACTATTTCATAAGTATAACAGCTTTTATTTGGCTTACGTCTCGGCAAACTTCTTGATCAATCCTGCGCAGTAGCTATTTTACGTACAAAAACGTCTACTGCGCAAGTTTTTTGTTTACGAACTATCGGTTTCGACAGCAGCCCGAGGGAACTCCACTTACATCAGTTAGGGTTTCGTAATTTAATGCCTTACGAAAATAAATATCAGTCACAAAATGAAGCCAAATTATTTATTCCTGATTACCCAATAATGATGTCAACGCCAACTTTTCTACATATTCATAATTCCTTTAGGCTTAGAGATTGTGGCGCCGTTATGGTTTCTTTACATAACCTAAGTTTTTTGTTGGTTTCATATTCAGAATATAGTAAATATCGATTTAACTTATTTTTGTAGATTTCGGATCTTTGCTTACGATAGTTGACGCGCATATCTTACATTTTCAAAATGATCAATCGCTGCACGCATGTTCTTCTATTTCTGGAGCTTTTCAGCTTTCTTCTGTGCATGTTCTTTCTTCGCTACCGGACTTATTTGCTTTATAAACATGTATCTTGTTTCTGGCTACTAGTGATATGTTTAATCTGCTTTAATTTATTCAAAATACCATTGTATATGTATTGTATAGAAAGTACGAGCACTCTAGTCAGGTTGCTGGGCATGAAAGACAAGAAGGACAAAGAGCCCGAAGTGATGGACGACAGCATGTTTGACGAGTTCAAGCTAAACATGCCTAAGGACAGGAGCGATAAGATAGCGCACCAACGGAACTATGATCTGATGCGGGAGAGCGTGAACACAGCGTTGAGAGGCTGCGGGAGGTTGGGGTGTCACGGTGAGCTCTAAAACTAAGATACGAAAAGACCTTTTTGGGGGGGTAAAGAGATGGGGAGGGGGGTGGGGGTAAGAGCAGTGTAGTTCTGTCGCAGAGCTCGATGACTCGATAGGATAGGAGCGAAAATTTATTCTCTTGAAAGCTACACTATTAGTCACCGTAGTGAAGTATTATCGTAGTAATTTGACTCCTTAATATCTAGATGGAAGACTAATATCCTTTCATATAGAAAAAGTCTGTTAAAATAGCACCCACAGTAATTTTGCAGATGATGAATTTGCTTTGTCCAACTAGTACAAATTCTGGCATCGTTATATATTTGTTTATTTCCTAGTAATACGTTTATAAGTAAAGAAAAAAAAATGCAGGAATAAAACACTCGGCTCAAGTATTAGGTTAGAATTCTTGATATACATTAATATATCAAAAACTCGAAAGAAAAAGCAATGTCAGAGAAGGAAAGAAAGAAATAATTTTATTAGCCTTAAGTAATACGATTACACAAAACAAAAGCAATAACATAAAAAAAAGAAGGCCAACTAGGTCCCTGCCTCAGCATGATGCCACAGCGACGCCAGGGCCGCTGCAGTGCTGATATTCTGGCAGGGCCTAAGGTTGACGAAACTAAATATATTAAACAATTAAAAACAATAAAAACTAACATATAAAAAGGTGGAATCTATCAATACATTATATCATTGAAATATTATCATAAAATCATATTAACATAAAACAAGCGGCAAAAATACGATAGCATATTATAAATAAACAATCTGAACATGCATGGTGACAACAGAGTGGATGGCGTGTTCCGCAGAGATGTGGCCAAACAAGTGTTAGGGTGCGGCTAGAGTGCACTCAGATTCAGATTCAGATTCCGAAAACAAGCACGAGAAATAAACAGTGTAGTCGAAGGGTACGGCCAGAGTGCACTCCTGATTCAGATTCAGATTCAGACTCAGAAAACAAAGCGCGAGAAAAAACAGGCAACCTGCTTAGACTACACTGTTTATTTCTCGCGCTTGTTTGCAGAATCTGAATCTGAATCTGAGTGCACTCTGGCCGCACCCTTAGCCAACAAACCAGAATCAACCCACGCAAGCCTGTTTACGTGAAGTGAAAAACTCTAAAATGAGTCTTAGATACTATAACAAGCTTTGCAGATGCAGTAAATGTGTTTTCAGATGTTTCCTAAATGTGTGAATTTCAAATTACGCACTGGCGGCGGGGGGTCGTTCCAGCATTTCGTGACTGCAAATCTAAAGGATCCATGAAATGCTGCTGTTCGATGCTTCATTGTTACAAAGACATGCCCACACTGCCTTACTGGGTATCTACTCCTATCACGCATCCATACAAGTTTATTATAAAGATAGTTTGGTCTTCCCTTGTCCAGCACATCAAATAATAAAGTAGCCAGATGAAGTTACATCCTTGCTTCCATTTTTAACAGTTTTGCATCGTTCAAGAAAGGAGTCACATGTGAACGAGGAGGCACATAAAAACAGAACCGAGCACAAGCGTTCTGTACGCGTTGGATGAGCTTATTTGTTCTAGACATGAGGCAGGGCCCAAAAACAGTATCATAATAATTCAATTCAGATAAAACATGCATTTCACACAACTTGATTCTCAGCTCTTCAGATAAATAGGGCCTAATTTTGTACAATAGCTTCAATCTATAAAAACAGATACGGGAGCATTCAGCATTTTATCATATTTGTTTACTTATGAATTTACGTTTTACCTAATATTTTTTTTATTGATATTTATAAATTAATGAGAGATTTAATGTATTCTTTGTACCTATGTCCTTTTGTATGGGAGCAATAAAGTGTTTATTATTATTATTAAATACGCTTATTAAATTAAATAAGATTCAATGAAAACGCAATAAAATAGTAATATTTTTTAGATATTCAGCCTGAGGATTTGGAATTAACCGAGGACGACTGCACTTATCAACATCTAGAATTGAGCTATTGGCTGCATACAGTAAATTTTAGACAACTTATTGTGGATCACAACTTAAGGTACACTATTTTCTGTATAAAGGAGAACCGGCACTTTTCATAGAAAAAATGCTAAACTTGTATACAGTTGAATTTGGTCAAAAAACTACTTTTGCCTTATTTTTAGTGAATCGTGGAAAGAAGTTATATAATGATTAATATTTTTTAAAATGGAAACCCTAAATCTTCAAGGGACAGAATTTTACTTCAAAATATTACTCAAGTGACTGTAAAAACCATGATTCCTTTGCTTTTTCTAAATAAAAAACCAAATGTCAATTTAACAATCCTAAAATACAAACAAAAAAATCATTCGCAATTCGTATCCGCTCCCGCGTACTGTGATTGTGAATGTTCTCTGCTGTGATCGCCTTTTTATCCCTTATTTCCCTTGACGACCTGGCTACATATAGAGGTTATATTGACAAACCTACGTATTTGACATTGACAGCTAGCTGCTGATGACAAATATTGCCAGACTACGTTACCCAATAATGAAACACAGATAAAAAAAAATAAAAAAGTATACAACTTTGGCACATAATGCCGGGTGTCCTTTATTTTATATTGGACTACACCAACAAACAATGCGGTTTCTAAAGTACAATGAAGACTCGACTATCCAGACTTGATTTATCTGGCTTTACTATTATCCGCACTGCCTATGGCATTAATTTATGTTGTTATGAATGCATTAATTTTGGAAGAAAATATTAGTGTCTATAATTTAATTTTTAATTATCTTCATTTTCTATTATCGGAAGGTTAGGTCTCTGCTGATGCAACCACGGACACCCAGATTTCGTTATTCCTATAGAGGCTAAGAACTCACAGAGCGGTTTTTTGCGCGCAGACCTGTTTTATATCTAAAACACTTTTATAATCTCACAAGACCACAGTTTTTGCGGTTCCGAGAATGCTCGTATAATTTATCTGAAGAAGATTGGACGAAACCAGACGTGTGCACCGGGTGCCGGAAACAAACCCGGGTGTAAATCGCGCCATTAAATTTCATATCTATAATTTCACATTTCGCGGTTCCTCACACGCGGCTGGCGCGGCCAAAAACAGCTCAGTGAGTTCTTAGCCTGAACCAGTCTGATATCAAACTCGGGAGCAAAGATGGCGCCACAATGAAAATTTATGTGCCATGACCATGGCGATCTATATTTACAATTATTGACATTGTAATAAAACACAGTTTACTTTACAATTTTACTTTACGTTAAAATTTAATAGATTTAGAGCTTCTATAAATAAAACTAAATTATATTTTAAATATCCTGTCCGAGATCTGAGGCAAGCTGGTAAAGTACGATGCAAAATTAATGGTAGTTGTGAAATTTCGCAGAACAGTGAACGAAAGAAGAACGATCATTTGTGACCCAGACCTGACAATCGGTTTTGGTATTTTATAAATAGTCATATTATATATTTTTATATTCGAAATCAATGGCAAACACCAAAAATTGCCGTATGTTTTTTTTCAGGCTTTACAAAAAAAAAAACAAATTATCTACAAATTCGTAAATGTATGTTACTAAAATAACGATAAAGTAGTTAGGGGATGTATCTAGGTGACCTGGACATGCAGTGTGAAGTTTTTTGGTGTAAAGTCTGTCGTTTGTGTCACGTTTCTGTCGGGTCTGGGGTTTTTTTCTATAGAGCGTGACTGTTCTTCTTTAGTCGCGTTCCCGTGTCTACTTCATATCACCTGTGCATATTTGTAGTCGCTCCAAACTTCGCAGCCACCATCAAGTCTGAATCGCACTATTTAAACCCAACTCTCAGCTAAGTACATTAGCTAAATACATTTTTAGATTGCCGACGGAGATCGCGTCAGTGACTCCCTCAAAGATGAAGGTTCCCGAATGTCGGATATCGATCAGTCCTTCCGACGACTTCTTCCTCGAGCGAATGAGCCGGGTCGACAGTACCGGCTGGAAACCAATTCTTGGCCTTATGCACCAGTTCGCTGAGGTGTTCGAGTTTTATGACTACGTCTCTCTGGGGGCCAAGATCTCCAAGTACGTAGACACTGTAAGTAGAAAAACAGATTAAACATATTGAATTCATTGGTATTAGAGCTAAATGGTAAATTGACATGTTCGTTTTCCGATTGTGGAAATTAAAAGTTAAAAACATAATTTCAAACAGTGATATATACTCGACAATAGGTGCTTTGCGGGTGCTTGCAAGTCTGTAGACCTTAACATTAAAAGCGTATTACCGGTTATTATTTTTATTGTGGTACAGAAGCCGCACGCCTGGGACGGCCTTGTAGCAGCCGGGTGGTGGTGCGGCGCGGGGGGCCGAGCCGCCTGCGCCGTGCGCTGTCTGAGCGCCGCGCACCACGCCGCGCCGCCCGACCGCGCTCCCGAGGCGCTGCGCGTGCTGGCCACGCTGCTGAACCTGTGAGTGTGGTGCGGGGGGTGGGGGGGGGGAGTGGTGTAGTGGCGGCGGGTGGTGGGGCGCTGTCTGAGCGCCGCGCACCACGCCGCGCCGCCCGACCGCGCTCCCGAGGCGCTGCGCGTGCTGGCCACGCTGCTGAACCTGTGAGTGTGATGCTGGGGGTGGGGGGGGGGAGTGGTGTAGTGGCGGCGGGTGGTGGGGCGCTGTCTGAGCGCCGCGCACCACGCCGCGCCGCCCGACCGCGCTCCCGAGGCGCTGCGCGTGCTGGCCACGCTGCTGAACCTGTGAGTGTGATGCTGGGGGTGGGGGGGGGGAGTGGTGTAGTGGCGGCGGGTGGTGGGGCGCTGTCTGAGCGCCGCGCACCACGCCGCGCCGCCCGACCGCGCTCCCGAGGCGCTGCGCGTGCTGGCCACGCTGCTGAACCTGTGAGTGTGATGCTGGGGGTGGGGGGGGAGTGGTGTAGTGGCGGCGGGTGGTGGGGCGCTGTCTGAGCGCCGCGCACCACGCCGCGCCGCCCGACCGCGCGCCCGAGGCGCTGCGCGTGCTGGCCACGCTGCTGAACCTGTGAGTGTGATGCTGGGGGTGGGGGGGGGGAGTGGTGTAGTGGCGGCGGGTGGTGGGGCGCTGTCTGAGCGCCGCGCACCACGCCGCGCCGCCCGACCGCGCTCCCGAGGCGCTGCGCGTGCTGGCCACGCTGCTGAACCTGTGAGTGTGATGCTGGGGGTGGGGGGGGGGAGTGGTGTAGTGGCGGCGGGTGGTGGGGCGCTGTCTGAGCGCCGCGCACCACGCCGCGCCGCCCGACCGCGCTCCCGAGGCGCTGCGCGTGCTGGCCACGCTGCTGAACCTGTGAGTGTGATGCTGGGGGAGGGGGGGGGGAGTGGTGTAGTGGCGGCGGGTGGTGGGGCGCTGTCTGAGCGCCGCGCACCACGCCGCGCCGCCCGACCGCGCTCCCGAGGCGCTGCGCGTGCTGGCCACGCTGCTGAACCTGTGAGTGTGATGCTGGGGGAGAGTGGTGTAGTGGCGGCGGGTGGTGGGGCGCTGTCTGAGCGCCGCGCACCACGCCGCGCCGCCCGACCGCGCTCCCGAGGCGCTGCGCGTGCTGGCCACGCTGCTGAACCTGTGAGTGTGATGCTGGGGGAGGGGGGGGGGAGTGGTGTAGTGGCGGCGGGTGGTGGGGCGCTGTCTGAGCGCCGCGCACCACGCCGCGCCGCCCGACCGCGCTCCCGAGGCGCTGCGCGTGCTGGCCACGCTGCTGAACCTGTGAGTGTGATGCTGGGGGAGGGGGGGGGGAGTGGTGTAGTGGCGGCGGGTGGTGGGGCGCTGTCTGAGCGCCGCGCACCACGCCGCGCCGCCCGACCGCGCTCCCGAGGCGCTGCGCGTGCTGGCCACGCTGCTGAACCTGTGAGTGTGATGCTGGGGGAGGGGGGGGGGAGTGGTGTAGTGGCGGCGGGTGGTGGGGCGCTGTCTGAGCGCCGCGCACCACGCCGCGCCGCCCGACCGCGCTCCCGAGGCGCTGCGCGTGCTGGCCACGCTGCTGAACCTGTGAGTGTGATGCTGGGGGAGGGGGGGGGGAGTGGTGTAGTGGCGGCGGGTGGTGGGGCGCTGTCTGAGCGCCGCGCACCACGCCGCGCCGCCCGACCGCGCTCCCGAGGCGCTGCGCGTGCTGGCCACGCTGCTGAACCTGTGAGTGTGATGCTGGGGGAGGGGGGGGGGAGTGGTGTAGTGGCGGCGGGTGGTGGGGCGCTGTCTGAGCGCCGCGCACCACGCCGCGCCGCCCGACCGCGCTCCCGAGGCGCTGCGCGTGCTGGCCACGCTGCTGAACCTGTGAGTGTGATGCTGGGGGAGGGGGGGGGGAGTGGTGTAGTGGCGGCGGGTGGTGGGGCGCTGTCTGAGCGCCGCGCACCACGCCGCGCCGCCCGACCGCGCTCCCGAGGCGCTGCGCGTGCTGGCCACGCTGCTGAACCTGTGAGTGTGATGCTGGGGGAGGGGGGGGGGAGTGGTGTAGTGGCGGCGGGTGGTGGGGCGCTGTCTGAGCGCCGCGCACCACGCCGCGCCGCCCGACCGCGCTCCCGAGGCGCTGCGCGTGCTGGCCACGCTGCTGAACCTGTGAGTGTGATGCTGGGGGAGGGGGGGGGGAGTGGTGTAGTGGCGGCGGGTGGTGGGGCGCTGTCTGAGCGCCGCGCACCACGCCGCGCCGCCCGACCGCGCGCCCGAGGCGCTGCGCGTGCTGGCCACGCTGCTGAACCTGTGAGTGTGATGCTGGGGGTGAGTGGTGTAGTGGCGGCGGGTGGTACCTATTTAGAATAAATCTTATAATTTTGTTTCAGACAGCTAAAACAAGACGATGCCAAAGATATTGCGTACCTCTCATTCTATACCTCGCCGAAGAACAAGATAGATGCATTTTTGGTTGGCGTTTCACATTCCTATAAGGTAATTTAAATTTAATGAAATTTGTTTTTATTTTCTTTTTTACTGCAACAAATGTAGATTTGATAAGCAATTATATTCCGTAACTATAAGATTGTTTACTCTTAAGGTTATAAATAAAACTTAAAGGTTTTAAGTGTGCCTTTTGCTTTCCATTGACATTAAAAACCTTGTAATCTTATATGTTTGAAAACTAAATAATTAGTAATTTTTTTTCGACAATTTTTGAGCACGATTGTGTGTCTATTTGTTTTTTTAATCAATGGTTTAGGAATGATTATTCACGCATATTATAACTTTGCAGTCACAATACGAACAAGCAGTATGGATGTATCGTTTCGCGCTCACTTTTGACGCAGATTTCCTGCCAGCCAAGGCTTGCCTTCACGCCACGATGTGCATTATGTTGTTCGGTGATAGCAGCAAAGAGAAAAACAAACGAGAATAAACCAAATCGTATCCAACCGTAACCTCACTTTAGAACATTTTAAGTAGGAGACGGTATTATCAAAAATGATTGGTCTTTACCATTGTATATGTCTCATGTTTGGATTGTATTACACACGTCTACGTATTAGTTACCCTTCATTACAGTAAAGTTTTTGATCTCGGGCATATATTTAACAAATAGACCTGTAGTGAACAGATGTCTTAACAGATGTAAAAATCGTGATTTAAATAACGGTTAATAACAGTTTTAATGCAAACATACAAATAGTTAAAACGCGGCGAGGGATTATTTGTTTTATAAATCAGTAGGTATGTTGATTGAAAATATTACAAGATTAAAAATATTTATTTTCTCATCTCACTTATTTATTAAACACAATTGAGCGGATTACAGGAGAGAGTGTATTTTATTTTTGAAATGATAAGAATTTATTGAATATGAACTTGGTTTCAGTTCAAACATCTCATATATGAGAGAACAGTTATTTTACTTATAATATCGTCTCCCAATACTCAAAAGTTCATATTTATTATAGTACATCGAGGACAGTACCTGCGTGTTTATTTGATATTAAAGAAATCCGAATTACATTTACTTACTAACTATATTTGTCCACATTCTTTTTAAATTGCTTCAAATTAATTATCAATATGTAATTATATTATTTTGTAGATATTCAACGAATCTATGTGTTTGAAGAGAAACTGTATTTATAACACAATAAAATTACTTATTTATTTCAATACCAAAAAAGTGTTAACAGGATAGTTTTAAACTTCACGATTCGATTTTACTGTATTTCAATAGTTCTTAACCCAAATAAAATTTTACGTGGTGTGTATCTCGCGGCCATGTCGTAGATTTGCTCATTTCATTTGCCTGTATCGAGAAACATTTTTTTTTCATTGATCTGCCCAAGTCACATCATGATGTGGCAAATAGACTGTGGAACACTTTGTGAAATGCTATCATTTCATGAAATTCTACGCATTTAATGAAGTGAGCAAATCTATGATAAGGCCGCGAGAGGTACAGAATGACTTTTTTCCCGTTGTAAACGTTGTTTTAACTGCTTTACAAATTATAACGTACGCTTAAAATCTTTAGTACGTATTACCGATGTGCCAAAACGCCAAAACGTTGGCTTATAGCTTGTAAAGTCGCCCCGTGTTCTTGAGGCTTTAGTTTCATAAAAATTCCAACTTCCCCAGTAATTTTGGCCTATGGTTCTTCATGAATAATTTTCAAGATATCATGAATAGGGGGCCGTTCAAGTATTACGTAAGCAGATTTATTACAATTATTTACCCCCTCCTCCCCCTTGTCAGCAAAAGTAAGCAAAGCCCCATGCTTACGTAAACATTGGTACCTATATGCATTTTTCCTTTAATGTATTCTGTTTTTTATTGCTTCATGAGTAGCAGTACTTAAATAGGCTTAGGATCGAGCACTTTAACGCACATAATATTAATTTAAATAAACTTTATTGACACAGTATTCAACATAGAGAAAGGTACAAATATTATAATCTTATTAAGTACTGTTACGAACTAAACAAACTTCCTTCGAAGTTTTGGTATACATATTAATTCCAATTAACAGTCTTCAGTCCATGGTACCCGAATCCATGATGCTGACATAATTACTATCTCGACCGTGTCATCCCCACCCCCCCCATGTCATCAAAAATAAGCAAAGCGAAGACCCCCCTACCCCCCTATAGTGCTTACGTAATACTTGAACAGCCCCTAGTCAGTGTATAAACAATTAATGTACCTAGATTATATAATTATACAGTTTCTGATATGATCTGCTTGATTTCCGTAGTTTTCGTTCGTTTTGTCCATTAAGCGTTTTTAAGCGTACGCCTAAGATCTATTTTGACCTTATTGTAGTTACTACAGTCATTTTTTTTCAAAAATCCTAGATATTTCATTCTGTAAACACACCAATATTGACAAACTATGGATAATAAATGTAATCACTATTATATCAATATAATTCAATAACGTGGTTGTTAAGTCACTTTGAAAATGTATTCAAATAACAGAATACTTTCTATAAATATTGTGAAATCTCAATTAAGTATAAACAAATAAACAAAAATGTTATTGTTCCTTTTATATTACATATTTTTTGCTTCGTAAACCTTTGTTTTTCAGTCGCACCAAGTTGACAAGATCTTATTGTTTTACAGATTTAGAAAAATGTGCGAGAGAATATTACAGTTTGGGTAAAATACAGTTTGTCATTTTAAGAAAATAATATGACTTCAATTTATCAATGAGTTTAATAAAAAAAAATAAAGATGTTGTGAAACAAATGAGAAAGCTTCCAAAAAGCCTAAATCTAACTGTAATTACATAACAAAATAAGTACTTTATATTTTAATTGTGTTTAATAAATCGGCTCAATGCATTTTGCTGCTTTTTAGTTTGTTGATTCCGCCTACTTTAAGATTACTTTATTAGTTGGTATCAGAGACAATACTATACGAGTGAAAAATTCCACATAGTAGGTTTAAAACATTTTTACAAGATTTAATTTATAAAATGTACTCAAAATAATTTGTAAGTTAAATTATTGCAACAGCATTTATTGCAAGTACAATTATTATTATTTTGATATTGGAACAAACATAAACTAGGTATTTATCTACGACCTGTTGCATTGTTTTTTTTTTTATAATTTTTGTTACGTTTGTTACTTACGATGCGTTGTACCTAATTTGGGTACTTAAGACTGATTGGAATCATTACCCTTGTTTAGCGTAATATGTAACTACAATTTGGAATTATACACCTTCGAAATTATTACTCTTTCATTATTATTGACCACGGTATTTAAATCAAGCCATATATCTAATCTTTATATAAATAAGTGAAGGTAAAACTGTATCAACTTCAAACAAATTTTGCGCATTTAAGAATGAATTGTTTGCATACTTAAAGTGAACCTAGACGAACTTCACAAGTAGTGCAGATAGCTACTATTATAGTAATACAAACTATATTTGTTTAAAGTAAAGCATGATTTTGAAATGGAGAAAATGTAACGAAGTATGGTGTTTCTCAAGGGTGGTGGAAAAAGTAGCGTAATAGGTTTGCGTGATACTAGAGGACGCTGTGGTAATTATTGCACGTGGGCGCTCCATGATGTTTTTTACTTACTTATTATTTTATTTCCAGATATATATATCCTCCTATTCATCCCTTATTAATATTTTTCTTGTAAATTTTACTACAACACATTTTCTATGGTTAAATCGGGCACACATCAAGCTACAACATAATGTTAAATCTGAATCGATTATTACGGAAATTAAATCTAATATATTAAAGTCCAAAATTAGTTGTATATAATATTGTTTCACTTTTGATTATACCATGCCCACAGGGGGATTTGTGGTGGATTTTAATTTGACTGCAATAGTACTGAATGTACTATTTTTCTAAGTTTAGGTCGCCCCCACACATAAGGTACCTGATACAAATAAGGCCTATGCTGAAATAAGGCCTGTAGTGCAGAAAAGTCTATTTAAATATACTTATTTACATAAAATATATTTTACACACGCATAGACGATAATTCTACAATTCTGCAAACCGCACGAGCGGTCCGCTCGAGCTACTTTTATAACAGGCCTTATTTTTATTAAATTTAACATAATCATCATAATAATTTATCATGATATGAGTCCATGAAATTAGGCAGGCCTTATTTGTATCACTTACCTTATTAAGTACGTGTATGGACACAAATGGGAAGATCGTTTATAAAAAGTTTTACCAAACTGGGCCCTAATTTGATTTGATTTCTATGGAACTCCTGTGTGATACCACGTGATATGGAATCAAAGCCATTTAATAAATAAATATACGACGTAAAAAGTTCTCCCATAGCCATAGTGCCATATACCCAAAAACAACTTAGATTCACGACTTACGCAGCAGGATTTCATGAGAGACATTGTCGAAGGCTTTCTAGAATCCGTGTAAATCACATTGAACTGCTTTGCAGGTTACGTAACACAATAAGTAGAGGCAAAGTGTGAAAATAGCTAAGCTCGTGTATACGCGTAGAATATTATATTTTACCACTTTAACGGGCGGGGTATGACGTATAATATCAATGTGAAATTACAGTTTTCTAGTAGAGACCTAGGCCCTAAGTAAGACTGGGCGCACATACACGGTTTCCTGATTTAGTTTTCTGATCAGGAATTCAGATTCGGAATTCCGTGAGCCTAACGTTTCGGTTTTTTTTATTAGTTACAGTGCGAACAGAATGTTAGGTTTTTTCCCATTCTAAAAAAATAAGAATAGGGTGCGTTGCGGTGAGTTAAATATTTTGTATGTAAGGGCGTGCATTCAGGTTTCCGAATCGTAATTCCTGATCAGGAAACCGAACTAGGAAACCGTACATGTGCGCCCAGTCTTAAGTTAAGGAAAAAACAGCGAAACTTAAAACAAAAAACCGACCAAGTTTGAGATGGGCTCGCGCACGCAAAATATCGTGCAACAAACCGCAGACGGAAAATTCATGTTGTTTTCGTCACAACTTGTAAAGTACATAATGAATCGACGTTTTCAGTATTTGTTATCTAAATACACCATATATATATTTATATATATATATATATTTATATATAACTAGGTAGGCAACTGACTCTACCCCACCTGATACACACATACTAAAATTTCATTTTCCGTTTCACAGAATAGCTAGTTTCGATTTTGAGATTGAAAAATTACAACATTTACGCCCCCCCCATTTCTTTATTTTTGAAAGTAAAAGCAATTATATTATATTTATATCCTACTCAATGAGCTCTAGACAAAGATGTATCACGTGCTGGGGTAAAAACGGAAAAATATTTTCGTCTCTTTCATGTACCATATATCGCCCATGAAAAATCATTTAATTATTTTTTTAATATTCAACTTTGGGCCAGCATTCTACACAAAGCATTTAACATTTTAGTTACTCATACCCATTCCGTTTGTGATCTAAAGGCCCACAACATACGAACAAACAGACAGACAGACGAGTGACAGCTCCATTTTTACCCTTTGAGTACGGAACCCTAAAAAAGGTGAAATTGCTTCAAATAGACGACGGTGATTATTAGACACTTGCAAATGGAATTGATATTTGCATGGATTGTGTTTTTAAAACAGTTTTTTTTTCATTTTGTGACAGTTTCTATGCCTTATTCCTTGAATAAGTTTACGCGTTGGAATTTATAGGAATCTACTGAAGCAATCATGTATTTAAGTTATTATAAAAAATTTCAAAGTAATATAGATTCTTCCGAATTATTAAGTAAATTAACACACCCAGAAAAGCGACGCGCCATACCAAGTTACTGTATATACTAAACTCAAGAACAAATTATCAATCCACTTCATTCATTAACAGAGCGCCCGGGCTTTTCAATTCAATTTGTCAAAGCATGGATTTGGACCATTTTAATACTAGTATACCCACATTTAAAAAATATGTAACAATAACCTCTTTTATACTATCTTAATCATAGTATGTTTGTTTGTATACCAAGATATTAACCCTTTCAAATATATATATATACTAGCTGACCCAGCGAACTTCGTACCGCCCTAAAAAATAGGGGTTGTCCAGCGGACAAAATTGTGAATCTAAACCATTCTCAGATCCCCTTGAACACACACAAAAAATTTCATCAAAATCGGTCCAGTCGTTTAAGAGAAGTTCAGTGACATACACACTCACAGAAGAATTATATATATAAAGATATGTCAAAACTTGTAATTGGTTTTATTAAGTATAAAAATGTATAGTTTAGTAAAATGCATATAGGTGTAAGTTTAAAAAAAAATAAAGAGATGGCGTTTGATATATGGTGGCGTCCTCTATGAGATGCAAGGAAATTATCACGTAGCTTTCCTAGCAGCTACGTCGTAGCAGGGCGTCTGAAGCTTGATATAACTTAACAACATAGTGAATCGCAAGATGCCGTCTGTTTACTGAAAACTGTTTGCGATTTCGCGAAATGAAATGCTCAAATCACCAAATATAGGTAAGTATTTGACGTGTTTGTTATTTTTTCATCACCAAAAATACTAAGGTACTTTTGTGTTGCTTCAAACTTAGGACACAATTAGGTAGTTTTTTATTAATAAAGCAAGAGAAAATTACTTCAGCTTTAATAAAAATGTAGACAATATACACACGTGCGTGAAAGTGCAAGTCATACAACTAAAGTATATTAAAGTCTTTATCCACAACGCACAAAATTTTATACCAGAAATGGGTTTGTAAAAAAATTGGTAATAAAGTCGTATGAAGAAACTATAGTCCCTATGAT